AAGGGTGGAAAATTGGGGATGAACTTTTTTATACGCAATATCTCCGCCGATTATAAATCAATTTGAACGATTATTTTTTTGTTGAATAGGTATTATCAAAAGGGTGGTTTCATGCGAATTTGAAGAAAATATTTCACCCCCAAGGGTGGAAAATTGGGGATGAACTTTTTTATACGCAATATTTTCAATTTTTAGTTTTTTTTTGTGTTCACGCATTTGAAGTCGGTTTTATTTTTTTTAAAAGTTATTCAGTTAATCGTGTATATTAATCAGTTAATCAACATTAAAATGGTTTTATGATGATGTAAAATTATCTCGATTTTTATTTTCGACGTTGACATGCGTGTTTTTTTTTCATGCTTACAATAAAAACATGATCATAATCGGCCAAATAAAGATACAATAAGATCACACAAAAGAAAAATACGACACAAAAGATGTTTGCGAATTTGGGTCTGTCTGTATATAATCTACATGCGTAATGTATCTGATACGATACTTTTGGTGCCAGAATGTTCTAGCGTTGTTTCGAGCCTTATTTTTAACACCACCTGCAAAAACTAGTTCATTTTGATTCTATATTTCGGCATACTCATAAACAAAACTGGTAATACACACAACTAATACGCAGCTCTACGTTCGATCTATTTTCGCTAGTATGTTTTAAAATAAAAAAGCGTAATAAAAAACTGCGCACATGCATGTTTGGTGGCCCACTCTGTGTCCTAATTGTCTATTTTCAAACACACCGTAACCTTCATCCTATTTGGGTGCAGTTAAGCATAACCTTTACTTGGCAGGAAGTGTATCAAATATGATCTTGGTTATTCATATCGTTACCGTCTATGACTGACATTACATTCAAGGTATGAGAATGGATTTGTTTGTATGGCGACGCATTGTCTGGGTGCTGAGAGCGCATGTCCCGGAGTCCTTGAATCGGTGACGTCATGGCTTGCGTGACGACACTCCCTACGCACCCCGAGGCCAAGGTTCTAACATACTTCGACCCTTGACTACACTTGACATTGTATGGACGAGGCACTTCTATTTCAATATCGTAAGGTGAAGGTGATTTCAAAAACTTAGCGTCGACTGTATCAGGTCGCATCGACTCAATCGTAAATTATTTAGTTGAAGCGTGGCGTGCTACTACCGTTGTCGCTAGCACACCACCAAGTCACGAAACCGTTTCAGTATGTACAAGATACGCTTATGGAAAAATTTAAATGTAATGTGTACCCAATGGATTATTTCCGTAAGCAACCCGGTAAATCAGTTGCTTTCTTAAGATTACATTATTTTTATGAAGCTGATGCTGTAAAAGTAAAGATGTGCTTTTAAATCATTCTTATCGCCATAACATGTTGACCATCATATTAATATTCTGGAAATCTCTCGTTGCGTAACCCGTATCGAACAGAATAGTCGTTCGTTCACCATAATAACCGAAGTGCTAAGTGGGATAACGCTTGCTTGACCTTGCAGCTAGCCGATTTATCGGGCGACGGTGAACGCAATGCGGCATTTTCGGGAGTAGCCTTGAGATCGAGCGATACCATAATTTATCTTTCGATGACACTTTCCTGGGATAAAGATTTCAGTTTTCAAATCTGCCTGAGTCTGGCATATTCATTAAAGTGTCAGGGATTTTCGCAAAATACCTTATCTTAGGTTGAAGTTGAAATGCGCGGGTGGATCAAGAGGGTAGCTGCGTGGGCAGCGGCTTTGTGTAGGCGGCGCGTGGGCGGCCGGTGCTGCCTCAGGTCGCATTTTAGTGTTCTGATATTAAAATCTTTTATTATAGGTATGCAAAACCACGTGCAATAATAACTGCCCAAAGGTAAAGGTCACGTATTCTAGAGCTGTATAAAATTTATGAAATATGTAACTAATTGGCCTCGCATATTTCCGAAAAGCTTCTGCGAAAAGAATCTCATATTTTTTGTATTGAGTAAATAAAGGTGTATTTACTATTTGCTCAAACTACGTGTGGCGAAGAAAGTTCAGTGTCAATGTTAGTCGAGTCTCATTGTTTTGCTAATTAGAGTGCAGACTTTAGGTAACACACTAGAATATTACTCTCACTTTGCAGTGGAATGACAGCTTCTATATTATTAGCACATATGATAAAAGAGTTTCTTCTTCTAATTCTTCAAGAAAGGGTTACATACAAAATTGGATCAATCGATCTTAGTATAATTTAGAAACCACAGAGGAGTAAGAAAATGGCACGTCGTAGCACTTAGTTACGTAACGCGGAAACTGGGCCAACCGACTACGAGGGTCGAGGGGGATAATGTTGGTAGACGCTTCAGACCCGCGCCCTCATGAAATATTCAGGCCCTCTCATTGTCGGGTTCTGTAGAGTTTGTACCGTATTTCAGTGCTGCCCTTGAACTCCGCTGCTGAAATATGGGTATCGCTTTACGTTGGATTTATCCAGAAGCAGCATCCATATTTGTTTACACTTGGCTGTGTCTGCTACTTCGCACGCGTGGAAGTTGTTTTCAATCAAATAAGACCTCTGTTTATTTAGGGCTGAATCAAATAGCGGTTCAAGGTTCTCTTCCGATAGCTACAAATTGAAATAAAGATATCTTAAGAATTTAAAGTAAGTTGTAAAATTTACGAAACATTTAATGTTTCGTTCGTTTCTATTTATACTGAAATAATACATACTTCACATAAATATTCCAGACAGTGAAAATAAAAAAAAATTAGTCATTAAACAATTGTTAGTATGTGAAGCTGTTACAGTACTCAGATAAATTTAAATATGTTAATTTCAGGCACAATATGTGCATAGCGTTTACCCGGAGCCGTTTTAAAATAGACTAACTAAAAGTTGCCAGTAGTATAAATAAACGTTTCAAAATAGCGTCAATACTTATACTTTCCAAGAAGACGGAGTTTATTGAACAAATATTATGTGTTCGTATAACAATAAATTATATTTCTTTTGTTTAATATCAAACTCGAGACCGACAGTAGTACTCTTTAGTCGTTACTACTGAGGCGTTGATGGAAATTTCACAGATTTGTTAGTGCTGCATATTTGCGAACAGTTTTAACTCCATGTCCGCGAATTTACTTTTATTGCCTGTGGTGCATTTTAAGAAGTTATAAATGCGTTCTGGTCATCGACCGAAGAATTTAGAGTTTCAGGACCGTTTACAGTCATCGGACTTGAATGTAAACAAAGCGGTCTTTTCCGTAATATCTGACAAAAAGTCTTTTGTTCATAATGCAAGCTGTAAGGGAAAATTTTGGGCTCGGTCTGGGTCGCTCTGTGTCGTCACATACTTTAATTAACACAAATGGGCGGGGTTTGGACGATCGCCAAACGTATTATCTTGTAAGTCCCTTTTGTTACTAGTTTCAAATATTTTTATTGTGGAACATAAATCACTTATCGTGCATTCTTTCGACATCAACGCGTGTAACAAAGTTGAATTTATCATTTTACGTCACCAATTCGATTTATCATGTTCTATTTAAAACATAACTTTAGATTAGGATTTATCAGTTTAATTTAAAGAAAAAAATATAAAAAATATATTAATTGATTAACTGTAAAAGAATAAACAATAGGTAAATGAACATTTGTCATTGCATTATACGATTCTTATAATTATGCGTGCATACAAAAGGAAATTAATTAAAAATATTCTAACACTGGCTATATCCATGACTAATGATGTCACGACACCACGATAAATTGTTTTAAATATATTTTTCCTGTGATAAGGCTATTATTATTCCGTGTAGAGCTGTGATAATCCATTATTATTTTATTTTATACCGCATAGAGAGCAGTGGCGAACACTAGTTTTATTTCTAGGTAGGCAAAAGGATAATAATAATTGAATTTCTTTATTATGTTAAAGTGGTAAGGTGACTGCCTTTTTTGACTGAAGAAAATAACCTAGTCATCAGGCTTTGACCCACCTGAAGTATGGATTCTCAGTAATGTTTTCAGCCTTCCGACTAGTTTAAACATTGGAAAATTATAAATCTGGTTCTACAACCGTTATCGCATCCACTTGTTGTTAGACAAAGTGGCTAATCTAGGTAAAACCAATAGGGCATATTGTGAAATACTGGCTAACCTGCGACCATGACGATTTATTGTACTACAAATATTGGTTTACTTGCATAACACATATAAATTGTTGGCAATGTAAACTTTGTGTTTGGTAGGGTTTAACTTTTAACACGTTCGTAGATGTTACGAAATGTAGAGCGAAGTCTTAACCTAAATCTGGAATTAAATCTTTGGCCGAATGTTCTTCTGAAACACGCAGAAATAGATTACGTGGAGACGGTATACTGGCGAAAGTAGCGTGCTCAAATAGGTTAGTTTCTAAAAACTGAGAAGCTGTCTGTCTCTAAGATTATTACACTAATTAATGGACGTTTAATTGATCACATAGTAATTACATACATATTTTAGAGAGCTATTTTTATCTAATTTTTGCTTTATTAGTAACTTGTTTCTAACTTAAAATCTATTTTAGCTAAATTTAGATTAGTTTGTATACTCGTAATTCGTTACCGATTTCTACTCTTTTCGATTCCATTTATTTCCATACTTTTGTTTAACTTCGTAAAGTACCTATCGTATAAAATATGCGTGAATTAAACTGACAAAATATTTATTGCATGTATTCATTATGTAACTCTTGCTTATTATGTATATTGGTATCGATGCTATAATCAATGTACAAAATCAGTTATCTCGAAATTGCATGCTATATCGACACTGATAATGCTAGTTGACTTATCGAAATATCGAATCCTGATTTCCGTAACGACATTCGTGAAATCATGATCGATTCCAAATTTGAGAAGCGAGAGCTGTCAATAAATCGAGTGTGTATTTGCAGCGTTGGCACAATGTGTACACTGTTATCTTATCTTTTAAGTAAGGTACCAACTCACCAAGTTCTATGCAGTGTAAGAGCTGTTGTTGATTCGGTAAACCATGTTGGTCTCAGGTACACGACGCACGTCTCTGCCAAACGCTCTCCTCTTGGACGGTGGCGCGAACACTTCGATACATAAACCCTTGGAAGAGGTAAGTTTTATTTAAATTAATTAGCTTAATGTAGTAAAATTATGACTCGTATATTCAAGTCAATCCTCAAGCATTTTGGGTCTTCGTGGCTGTCAAAACCGATTAAATTAATATTTTTCCAGCTATGCTTTTCTGGTATAGAATCTAACATTTTAAAAGAAGTTTGGAAATTCACAATTCTTGTACCGGAAAACTTTTGACGTGCGTACAAAATACTTAAGTCTTCTTTTACGATATTTTCATGAAAAACTGTTTCTATTAACTTAATGTAAACTTATATTTTATGTAAACTCGTTAATCACAGATTTAAGCAACTTAATAATGATAAAGATAATTCCCCTTAGTAAAACATTAACGGGAAAATCTAATCAGTAATCACAATGGTTATCGTAGAAATAGCTGTATCTATGGCGTCATGCCGATAAATCAGAAACATTAGCATTATGTGCAGCTACAGGTATTGTGATAATGCAGATTTCCATGCACTTAAGGGATAATTGCAATCACTCATTCATATCGACAAGATTAACGTTTGATAAATCTATGTAAAGTATATGATTGTACCTAGTACATAGCAGAAAACAAACAAGGATTAAGTTTTCATTTCAATGCCTACTCGTTTTATTAATCATAATAAACAAAGCGATCGCAAAAAAACAAAATTTTAATCAATAAGCGATAAACGATAACAACAACATAATATCAAAATTAGGTATGCTGTAGTTACGAAGTCTGCTCATTGAAATTATTTCAATGCCGAAAATGTAAATGTAAGCTATTTCTGACGCGATTTGAATAAAATATACCCAGACTATTGTAATCATATCTCTGTCGCCTATTATGCGAGGGGAGTGTTTTGTTCGGTACCCACGTCAGACTACATTGAAAGATTTAATCAATAATGAACATCGCAGCCCTGATTGGATGGCAAATAAACTGTAGGCGTATATCAAAGTTCCAGTCTAGTATATTCCATTAGCAATTCTCGATTCCCGAAATTATTTCGTTATTATAGGAGCTATGCTGACGGGGGAACAACGAATACGTCTCCGATGTTGCTAAGCAAATTTATATGGTGAGTGTTAATACTGATGCTTTGAAAGTGGTTGCAAAATATTCTTAAGCCCAGATATAACAAAAATGTAGAGTCGCAGTTTTGTGAGCTTACTTACCACTCTATTTACCTATAAAACTGTCTTTGGCTATAAAATATTTTTTGTTGTGGAATTTAATTCAGCATCGTCTAGTTTCTCCTGTTTACCACCTCCCTAGACCAAAGAGTTATGAGCGGAATATTGTTTCACTCGTAAATTTACACACCGGCATTTTGATAGAGTCCAGCTTTTATCTGAAAGGTGTTTGTTTTGGCTGTCATCAATTTTCCAGCTTCTGCTTCGTTTGAGAGGAATTATTCCGGTGTTTGCGTATTATTTAAATCCAGGTATAGGTACTTGTCTATTTTCGTTCTATTCCATCTGCGTTTAATTTCTATTTTCGAGTTTTCTTTGAATGCGTTGTGTTTATTTAACAAAATGAGAAGATCCAGTAGTTTCAGTTAGACCCTACATGCTTTGCTTTATGATGTGTTTATAATAAAAGAAAAACTTATTGCAATAACTAAGAGTTCGCACGCGCTCATTCGCATGGTCTGTCTGGTATTAACCGGTTCTACAATGTGCAAATAGTGTTCAAGTTTTTTATTGTCAGACGTCTTATTAGCGTTATTTCGGATCTCTAAATTCTTATTCGGATTTGTCTCTCCCTATCACATTAATGACGTCGAGTGGACGTTTCGTATCATTATTATTGTGTTTATGACTTTATGCTTGTTTCAAAATAATTTCATTCAATTGTGTAATTAAATAAGTCATTTTATAGGTCCGTTTTTCTGGGTTTTGTTCTTTTTGTTTATTTATGTTTGTGTCAGTGTTTTACTGTGAGAGCTCGTGTAGGTCAAGTAGAGTTCGTTCACTGGAGTGGTCGAACAGGTAGGTCCGGGCTCGGGTCCCGCGGCCGCAGACAATGTTCCCGAGTCCCGGCGGCGGCCCGCGGCTGTGTGCGCGAGCTCGCGTCGCGGGCTCGGCACACAATGAACCGCTGCGCAACATTGATTCGTGGTTCGGTGCGCGACCGTCAGTCACCAGTGCGCAACGCAACGAGAAGCAAGTGTTCAGCGCTCGGTAGCGCTACTTTTATTTTTGCGTTAATTTTTTTTTGTGCAACTCTTGAGCTTCCACAAGATAACCTGTTTTATATTGCTCATGTATCACTCTTCTGTGAACGGCAAAGATTTGCATACTGTTACTGTAAACTCGTGTTACATCGTTTGGCTCTCTACCTACTTCGGTTCCTGTGTGTTGAGTAATATTCTGTGTCAGTTGTAGTGTTTGTGCTTGTGATAGAATCAGACGATTTCATCGCGAACGTGTTCCAATTTGGGATTTCACCACGAGCGGGCTCAAGGAAGTTTATAGTCAAGTGAGTTGAATGAAAATATTTTTTACAGTTGTTTCAGCTGTTGGCATATTGTGATTTAATGATGTTATTACCACTGTATTTCATTATGTGATCTTAGCTTTCTATTGCTGTGTTTCTTACTGGTATCGTAGCGCTGTGCACCGAATGTGCATTGGCCTTTATCGGATGATGGATGGTCTGCCGTCGGTTGTAGTCAAGTGGCGTCGTGCATCACCACGTCACGAACGCGAGTGCTGCGGAGTGCCGCTCTCGAAACGCCCGCTCTTATCTCGCACGACCTCGACTCCGCCGTAACTGCCGAATCAATTTGATGTTCCATTCCAACCATTCGCTACACGTGTATAACGTGACGAAGACGCCTCTGCCACGAGTTGACACAACTCGCGAAAACATAACTACGTTTACGCTCAACTCCGCATTGTTAAGTGGGCCGTTAAATACGTGCTAAACAAAACACAATCCGGATATGTTAATTGGAACCTCTATTTGCCTCATCACATAAAGATCTTTATTTATAACTTTTGCCTTCAAATTGTAAGAGTTGTGTATTTCCCGTAACCTTTTTGGGTTCATTTCCTCAATTTCCACCGTCACCATGTATATATGCGGGCAACAGAAAATTATTTTGGCCCTAAATTCTGCAATGATAATAAAATGTTGGTTTAGTCACTTTTACAACTGACAAGTAATTTATAACTGCCTTAATATAACCTAACAGTAGTTTATGCACAACAAATGCTCAGGCCGTGGACCAGAAGAGCTGTTGTAAATAAGGGGAAACCATGAGTGAATTTTTAGTAAGGCCAGCTTGTAACTGGTTACTACTCATATTATAACAATTATTTTAAAATTGCTGCTGAATGCTATTTGTGTCACGAGTTCCTTAAAAAGTTTACAATATTATGTTTATTTATATTCCCAATGTTGTTTTTTGTTTTGTAAACAAAGAAGAACGGTCATCTGTGACCCAGGCCCGACAGAAACGAGACATACCTCAGTTTTTTGTCATGTCTTAATTAGTTAAATTATATATTTTTTATATTCGAAATCTATGTATAACACCAAAATATTACCCTTTGTTTTTGTTCAGGCGTTATACAAAAACTAATACAAAATGCCTATTTATCACCAACATTGGTAAATGTATCTACCTAAATGTCTATTACAGCTGCTATGGAATGTATCTAGGTGACCTGGAGATGCAGCCGGATTATACAGGGTGGAAACGAGAAGTTACAAAATCCATAAATTCAATGTTACCAGCTTCCATAATCTGTAACCTATTATTGGTACAATTTGAAAGAGCTCGTGAAGCACTTTCAGAATCAGTAACTTGTTTTTCGATATCTTGTATAGTTTAGAAATAATCGAGTGAGATCTCTTATCGTTCCAAATGTATAACCACCCTGTATAATCCGGTTGTATCTCCAGGTTACCTAGATACATTCCATAGCAGCTGTAATAGACATTTAAGTACATACATTTACCAATTTTGGTGATAAATAGGCATTTTGTATTAGTTTTTGTATAACGCCTGAACAAAAACAAAGGGTAATATTTTGGTGTTATACATAGATTTCGAATATAAAAAATATATAATTTAACTAATTAAGACATGACAAAAAAACTGAGGTATGTCTCGTTTCTGTCGGGTCTGGGTTTTTTTTGTATGGGGCGTGACCGTTCTTCTTTGTATTCAATATTAAACTCCTTCACCATTTATCTCATTACTACTTAGTTACTGCACGCCCACTATAAGTTGATTTTTTTATTGGTGTTGTTCAGAAGTAGTCTACATTTTGTTAGAAGTAGGTTAAATGTGTAATGTATTTACTATAATATGTTTGTGAAGGTCAAAGCTTGCGTAAAGAATATATTTACAATTACAATTGACGATGTACTCGAATCATGCCTGTCTATCACCGACTTGTCATCACGTATTGAAAGCTGGTTTGTTTATTTTCTTTTATGAGTAACTACCTACATACGTTTTTAGGTCATCTATGTAAGTAGTATTATATGGAACGAATGCTTTTGATTCACTGTGGCTTCTATAAACGAGTCTGAAAAACATACGGTTGTATTTCAGTATAGTCAATTTTCAAAGATTCTGTTTTTCTCTCAGGGTCAAAAGTGTCGCTCTTTGATTGGCAGATTTCAGTTTGTTCAAACACCATTTCGTATTGAATATACATTTCATTACCAGTCCAAACCTGTGCTATTGTCTGATTTCGTCGTTTGTTGTTACAGTGAAATAGGTGTTTGTTAAAAGCAAATTTATATTCAAGTCGCTTGACGCACCGCACGGTTTGCTTTTCCTGTCGTGCACAAATCGCGTCGTTTCGCCGCATTGAACTCGCCGACTGGTCTCCGGTTGATGCACGGGGGTATTGGTATGACTTTCCGAGCGGGTTTGTTGAAACAGCTGTCGAAAGTGTAAGGTCACGTTCAGCGGCGCCAGTTCTGCTGCATGTTGGCGACGCACGCGCATTCACAGACGCAGTGAAAGTGCGCCTGCGCCGGGGACCTATACTGCGACCGCTGGCGCTGCCTCGCTTGTGTCGTAAGCTGTTCGTCCGTGGAGCACTAGAAAGCTCCATGAAATTTTCAACAACAAAACCTCTTGCTTTGTTCCGCCTTGATTTCGTAACAGATGAAGCGGTGCCATAACAATTACACTTAATAACAGCTCACACTTCCTGATAACAAACTGTGTGTCTATGCAACTGCTGTGCGTCTCCATTAGCCAGATTGTATGCTATTTTCTCCTTTATCTGGTTACTCGTACCATACCAGAAACAGAATTGAGACCTCAATAATTAATATTCTGCAACGGCTTCTGTCCTCGAATAAACCTGATTTACGTCTAATTGATCGGGCATATCAGGCCTTTCGTCCCAGTTGCAAGCATCGGCCGGCACGTGACGTATAACTTGATGCGCTAATTAACAATCGTCTGAATATAGTAATATCGTTAAGTAATTGATGGCTGGCACACACAGCGATTGGCGTGTGATTCCACGCTGAGCGCATGCTGTCCCACGTGACAGACCATTATAGTTTCTGGTTTTACTACTAGACTGCTCCACACACGCGTCTGAACGGAATTTAATCTGTTTACGCGTTCGATTCTATTTTTATTGTTATAACCCATTTGCAATGCCATTCTCGTACCATCAAAATTTACGTCTAAAGCGGCTCATAGAAAATATTTCACATGACAAAACTAATGAAATTAACTGAGAAATAATGTCCATAAAATTCTACAGGGTGTTTGGCGCATCGTGTGCCAAAATGATTTGGCGTATAGAAGGGGCCATTTCCTATATTTTCAGCCCCCATAACAGGTTCCATGCCAGGCGGCTACTTTTATATTATTTTTTTTAATAAATTCACCAAAGTACCCAAATCGCATCATTTAATTTCGATTTAAAAAAAAAACTACTAGGCGTAGCCTCAAAGTAAATATTTTGTTTTGACGTGCATTGATGTAGGGTTGCATCAAATTTAAATTTACTGGCAAATATCATCTAGTTTTTTTAAAATTCAGCTTTAAAGTTTTCCGAAAAGTTAAAAATGGACTGAATATTTAAGTTTACATGGCTATAATTTTTTTTTAAAAAGAGAGAGCGATCTTCTGATTTTATCAAAACTTCTGTAGTCTATCCCCATTCAAACGGTATACTAATCTTGTTTAAATAATAACAACAACTTCACAAATTCCTTAAATTAGTGCATTGACTCTACTCGGACTGATTTGCGAAATTTGTGTTTATAGCCCCTTTTTGTGTGAATAGCACGTACAACACCTAACAGGTAAAAATTATTTATCTTATGCAATGTAAAAACCTTTTCCCTATCGTTTTTCAATGTGGATTTCTTGAAATTAAAGACGAAAATTATTATTTTGATCGTTTATTAATTATTACAAATTTTGTTCAAAATAACCGCCTCGGCTACGTATACTAATTTTGACTGTTGTCGTATGCAACCACATTTCTCTTTTTATTACTACAAAGGCGTTTTCTATTCGTGGATTGGAAGAGATGGCCCTATACAGTGGCCTGCACGTTCCCCAGACCTAACTCCGTTAGATTTTTACGTCTGGGGACAAACTAAAGAACTGGTGTACGTAACGGATTCAAACAATAGAAGAACTACAACAACGAATAGAAAACGCCTTTGTAGTAATAAAAAGAGAAATGTGGCTGCATACGACAACAGTCGAAATTAAAAGAAGATGTCGTGAGTGTACCTATACGTTGCCGAGGCGGACATTTTGAACAAATTAATAAACGATCAAAATAATTATTATCGTCTATAATTTCAAGAAATCCACATTGAAAAACGATAGGAAAAAGGTTTTTACATTGCATAAGATAAATAATTTTTACCTGTTAGGTGTTTAACGTGCTATTCACACAAAAAGGGGCTATAAACACAAATTTCGCAAATCAGTCCGAGTAGAGTCAATGCACTAATTTAAGGAATTTGTGAAGTTGTTGTTATTATTTAAACAAGATTAGTATACCGTTTGAATGGGGATAGACTACAGAAGTTTTGATAAAATCAGAAGATCGCTATCTCTTTAAAAAAAAAAAATTATAGCCATATAAACTTAAATGTTCAGTCCATTTTTAACTTTTCGGAAAGCTTTAAAGCTGAATTTAAAAAAAACTAGATGATATTTGCCAGTAAATTTAGATTTGATGCAACCCTACATCAATGCACGTCAAAACAAAATATTTACTTTGAGGCTACGCCTAGTAGTTTTTTTTTAAATCGAAATTAAACGATGCGATTTGGGTATTTTGGTGAAATTACAAAAAAAAAATAATTTAAAAGTAGCCGCCTGGCATGGAACGTGTTATGGGGGCTGAAAATATAGGAAATGGCCCCTTCTATCCGCCAAATCATTTTGGCACACGATGCGCCAAACACCCTGTATAATCATTCACTGTAAAGTACTTTCAATACGTCACTGTAGAATATTGTAAAGAAAGATTTTCACATCATAACAACTTAAAATTGTAGAGCATTAATAGATACATCAAAGTAACATTGCAACTATGAACAGCGAACACATATAAAAAAAATCTGGTTCTTGATTAGCGCCAAAGCCATTTTAGAATTTCAGACTTAATTACATAATTCGGCCGGCAACTTCCGGCTCATGCGACCTTCAATAGGTCAAGCTCAAGGTATGAAAGAAAGTATTTTATCGGAGCATTAAAAACCATTAAAGCTAGTTTTATGTTTTGGACATGCCATTGTTTGAATATTGCTTTTTGTTTTACTGTAAATTCAAGCGATGATATTGCACTTTGGCTCTGAGGAATGCTGAGATGGCGATTGTTGATTACATTTTCAGTCTGATTTTCTTCGTATTCAGTGTGATTAATAGTTTAATTCAGAACTGTGCCGTAGGAAAATATGTTTCCATGAATGAAAATGATGAGTCAGGCATTTGGCTGCCGCTGGCTTTCATTCAGACAATATCACAGCGGACAAAACGAACAACATCGCCCTGATTCTCGCCAAGGATGACTTGATGAGCGAATTTTATCTGTCGGCAGTATATTTAAAAATAGCACTCGAAAAAAGTACAATGACTTTCCTTGCCATTTTATTTCCGACTATCTAGTGAAGTCCAGTTATAAATAAAACGCTTTTAATAACTTGGCGCCGCCCAGTAATTTTAATAGGTGCGAGTATTGATTCGGTTTGCGTGATTCACCTTATTGCTCGTATAATGTTTGTTCCGCAGATTTGTTTCTATCACATAGTTCCAGGATTTCCATTACGCGCTAGTTGGCAGAGGTTGACATTTCATAACGTGCAGCTGATGTCTCGTAAGCGTGACTATTTCGCGTGGGTTTTCAAAATGGCGTGTGCACCTTGTTCCCTAATTCAAGAGCGTGGTGCCTGGATCCTGGATTGAAATATACACACATGTATGCGCGTTCGACCCACTGACCTAGCAGTGACCTATATCTCACGCACTACACTACTGTCGCACCCTTTGATAAATTCCAGCAGATGAAAATTGCATTTCATAGATTCTCTGTGTATATTTTCCGCGGAATTTCATAATCAAAATTGTTGTGGATGTGGCTTTGTGAGCTCAGAAACTCGACTCGCAAGCAGATGTCAATGTTATTCACCGAAATACTCGTACGCTGAATACCACAAATATTTGAATGCTGCGTTTGCAGGGTCGAATTTTAATGATCAACGTACAGTTAAAGTATAAAGTTACTGAAGAAAACTGATTAAACCTAAGTAAATAACTTGTCAGTTAGTTAACTGGAAATCAATTACTAACAACAACAGAAGCTAAATAACCTTGGTTTTCACTGATTTGCTTCGTTGGTCATTGTGTCCATTTCCTTATTAGGTGTATTTTTCTTTACTTAATCGAGTAGGCCGGCTAGGCTGATGCCCAGTCAGAATTAATTATCATATCTGTTATTGTAAAAACATTGTTTTACCAAGTCACAAATGAATCAACAAAGTTGTGTGACGTCAGACAATACGTCTTTTAGGTAAATACGCATATCGCGACAGCTGTTGTCACTATTACTATTTAATTTTAACACTGTTTGCAACATCGAGTTCATATCTTCTTGGAACTGGCCCTATCCGGTTCTTGACTCGAATGACCTTATTATCTTACATTTTCAAATGTCCACTGTTCGTGGCTCTTGCTCGAATACGATAAAAGCATTCGTAATAGGTACCTGAAACGAGATATTAAACATCTGGCGAGTGGCGAAGTTGTAGTTATTTCGAGTTTATTTATTTTGAACTTTTGGAAGTCTCCTGATATTTTACGTAAGTTCTGAAACTACAGCTTACTACGTGGCTGCGCCCACCATGTGATTTGTTTGTTTATGGCCTTTACTTGTTACTATCTCTCTACAAACTTTATATTTTGAGTCATCGGGTTGTTTCTGGGTTATTATTGTTTTGATTCCTTCGTTTATTTTCAGTGTTCTATATCCGTTGTTCCCTGTTTTGACGTATGGCGTGTTGCACTCTGGTTCGCTGACTTCGTAGCAGGCGAGAACCGGGGCGGGGCTTGCGCGTCACAAATACCCATGGAGCGCTTCTAATTTGGTGACGCCGAAGCGCTGGCAGGCGCTCGGAGCAGAGACGTCGGCCGACGCAACCGCGGGCCCGACGTCTGCCTCCGACCCGAATGCTCGTGCGTCACAAACGCTCCTCGATGATATACAGGAGGAAGCTGACCACGTGGTCATTGGCAATGAACGTGAAATATAACAAAACATGTTTGCTTGAACGAGTTGATGCGGAGTTTGTCAGTTTACGTAAAAATATTTTGCTTCAATCATCACCTTTCGTAACGTTCAGGATTTCCTGAATTGGGGAACCACCTTTTTATTTGCATGATTGCCAAAGGCGGTGCATCCTAGAATGGTTTCTCGGCGTGCCCTTGTCCGGCGCAGGCGCAGGCTAAAAACAAAATGAGTGAGTTGTGCGAGCAGCGCGCCAATCACAACCACTCACGCGCCCCGGTTCCCTGACCTGCCGTCCACCGATTGCAACTAGTTCTCAGCGCTCGCAGACCCGTGGATACCACTGAACTCTCTCTTTGTTATAAAACCAATCTAACCGCCAATTGAAAAAGGTCATATCAAATTGAACTTGAGTTTTCCAATCGTGACCCTACTGACAATGGGTTGGATTTCACCGCGTGTAACTGATACATTCACTTGTTTGACTGTGTTATGTAAACATATGCTAATCTTACATCAGTGACTTTGAATCATAACGTTGATTACAGTAGGTCAGTGATGTGAACTTATTAATATATGTTCATGCGGCGATCACGGCTTGATGTTGTTATAAGAAAGTCGTAGAGTGTTTGGTTTTATTTGGTTAAACATTTGCTTAAAGAAAAACAATATAAATGAATGATATTAGATACTGGAGCTGAATATAAAGTTAAAGATATAGAGTTACAGAGAAATATAGTAAGAAAAGTAAAATGTAGAGCCATTGCAATCTAAATGAGTATGCGTATGATACACTTTGATTAAACGCGTAAATTCGATGATAAGTATTCATTAATTTACAAACATAATATTTGTTAATGTAATTAGTGCATTAATAAGTTAAAAGTAGGACAGAGGCGTGGCTCTGAGCCTCTTTATGTTAATGGCAATAGCTATTAAAATAAATTCAAATCTAAATGTGTTTTAGGTAAGTTACACTTGTCACATAATGATTGATTACTAGCAATTAGTGGGTAGAGTTCATTACTAATTTCTTTACAAAAGATTTGACATTTCTGTCATTGAAGAATAGGTAGGGCAAGAGCTTTCCATAAGCGTATTTTGAAAAATGACTGCAATGTTTTAAAGGAGGAAGTTTCCCGAGGAAACTACGAATTTATTTTAGCTTATTTGGGATTTTCGAACTCGAAAATGTATTTTTTTGGAAAGATCATCTATCGAAGAGTAAATTTTTACAGGGGCTCATGGCAGTTGTCACACCTTCTTATTTAGAGCTTTTGTTCTCTTTCAGGTGGACAGCGGTGGCGGTGGCTTGGCCGAAGTAATGGTGTACTCTCTTGGCTGGGGCATGGGCGAGCCGGAGCGGCGCGGCGCCGACCGCAAGCGAGCCCAGCCGCCCCCAGTAGCGCACTCGCCGCTGTCGCCCGACGACGGGCATGAGGTCGACGTATTGCCTCTCCACAATCAGGTGAGCTCGAAGTGTGGTGCACTCTCTCGGCTGGGGCATGGGCGAGCCGGAGCGGCGCGGCGCCGACCGCAAGCGAGCCCAGCCGCCCCCAGTAGCGCACTCGCCGCTGTCGCCCGACGACGGGCATGAGGTCGACGTATTGCCTCTCCACAATCAGGTGAGCTCGAAGTGTGGTGCACTCTCTCGGCTGCAGCAAGGAGCGTCGCGTCGCGGCGTTGATCGCAAGCGCGCTCGGCGGCCCCTAGTAGCACGGACGATGGGCATGACGTCACATAACTGCCGCTAAAGCAGCAGTTGAGCATGTCATTACTCCATTGATCGTAATTTCGGTGGAAATCTAGGAAGAATCATGAATGATGATCATAAAAATCTAGTTTAATGAATGTATGGTCATTTGGGATGTAACTGAGTTTGCCTAAAGTGGAAAATATTCGTGTTTTTTGCCTGTTCTACATTATCGCTTCATAGACATCATCAAGTCTGACTTTTACGTGACTGTATTTTATGGTAGTTAGGTTACATTTTCCTGAAATATTCCAATGTGTCTAGCGTGGATTACGTACTCAACTGATAAACGGAGCAATATACACGTTGAATTAAATAATCCACAATCTAGTACCAACAGCGATATGAACAATGTAAATATAAGGACAGGTGTCGTCATCCGTTGTAGATTTGTAATATTCCATACACGCTGATAAACTGTGTGATTTTGCTTCGATAAATCTAACCTGAAACTGACTAAAAACTTGAAACATTGCAGTAACTGGCCATGTCATATCTGGGACTATCGCTGGGTTGTGAAACTGAGCAATGTGCGTGGGGTAACGTAACGTTTTAACCTTACGCGAGTATAAGCTGGCGCGCTCCGGCAATAGACCGGTTCGTTACAGTCTAGAGATCGCTTGGAACCATGACATGGCCCACGGCGTGATCGCGCCTGTCATACTCCGGCGACGCCGATTGTTGCCAAGACAACTGCTGTAGGCCGGTATTAATAACTGTTCCGACAATACTCAATGCAATCGTGGTCTGCATGACTAACGGAGCGTGCCGGAATGAAATCTGCAGAGCAGGTGCGCTACGCTAAGCGTACCATTTGATGCGTGTGGTGCAATTTATCAAAGATGACGAATTGCTCTGGCTTTTGTCAAGTTTAATTGTTGATCGCGTGTTAGTTTTGTCATTAATATCATAAGTATTCAGTCCATACTGCCGGAAAATTGTCGCGAGACAATTTGGAACAGAAACTCCTGTTGTAAGATATAAAAAGACTCAATAAATCTCAGGCTTCCTGCATGCCGGCCATCGGTATGTTGGCATTTCTAGGGTTGGAATCACGAAAGTATTTGACTGAGTCAGACAACATTTGAATTATTAATCTCTACGTGTCAGGAAGTTGATCACATGCAAGTGAAATTCTTTGATGGATCATTGATGAATGATGCAGATTTTACATGAAATGTATTTGTTACTTGTCTTGATAGTTCTTAGTATCAATAACGCCAACAATTTTCAAATGTTTCAAGTAGTAACATTAACTCTTCTGTTAAATCCTTCTAAACAAAAACAACGGTGTTTTAGACCTCAGTCAGACCACTGTTGGGGTCGACGCGCCGCGGGCCCGCCGTGCGTGCCCGGGTCAACGTCTCGGATATTTTTTATTTTCCCCGTGGCATGATATCCGATCGCTAGTGCCCTACGCCGAGTCGCGTGCTGCACCGCTTTCGGTGTGTGAGTCTGCAAACAAAGAACAGCACCCCATCGAGTCAATGCACACTTGTGTACACGCTATTACAATCGAAAACAGCATGACAACTACTTTTTTGTCCATTTGCCTGCCATGCAGCTCACAAACAGATTCAAGTTGCAGTTTAAACTTGTTTACAAGCAATAATATTACAATGTATAGAATATCTGTTATTGGCTCTATAATTTATGCGATTATATTTAATTATTTATTTATTGGTTGCAATAGCAAGTAGCAAACTGAAGTTTTCATAGATTTCGACCTTGATAGAGCCGAAAAAAGTATCACAACGCTTAAAATAATTCGATAGTTGAAGGTCATTGTTCATTTCATAATCAGTGGCGTGACTTTATCAGTCAATAACAATGAATAAAGTTTATTGACAGTACGAGCACATGTTTACATTGGGTTTCCCAAACCTACACTAATCTGGAAAAGATTCATTAGATACGACAAACTGGAACAATGAAATATTGATTGATTCGATATCAATGCTATGCTATCTGAAATGTTTTCTTTACGGACTGATAGTTTATCAAGTTTAAACCTAACCCTATAGGTAACATGGAATATTCTCGAATTTCGATTTCGCATACGAAAACGCTCAAATCGAAACAGATTTTAAAAATAACTTATTTTGGTTGTTTGTAAGTTTTGGCCACTTTGGGGTGTCAAGAACTATTTGACGCTGACTTTATGTAAATTACAACCTTTAATAAACATTGTTGTAATCAGTGTCATTCATGTTACATCGTTTAATAGACTAGACACAGCGTCAATACATTACGTCGTCGATTTATCTAACATAGTATCTGCCTAATGAAGCTACTTAGACTGAAATGTTTATTGTTATGACGTCATGTTACTTTAATGTATGGAGGCTAACTAGAACGGAGCTTGTTATACCTGTCTCGTTAATAATAGACGAGTATGCTGAAAATAAGTTGTTTGTACCGTGGCCGTGGTCAAAGCTTCCATTACACTGTGTTGTTGTGAATTACGATTAGCTACCGGATCAAAGAGAGAGCTTTTAATGTAACATTCCACGATTCTAGCAAGTTAAAAAAATACATTCTATAAATATGTCCGAAGCAGGCATCATCGTTCATTCTATTATCATGCAAACAAAACTTAAGTAGTTCATTAACGATAAAACATTGGATTTGGCAGATATGACTATAATTCGATTCACGCTTTTGCAATTTTTCATTTTCGCCCAATTAGTATAATGAGATTGTGACAGTTTTACTGGGCGAGACTGATTGGTGCGCCCCGGTGCATGCGTACCACAGCTGGTACAATCGATTGCATATTAGTAGCAAAGTCACCCTTATTACAACTACATAAATATTTTGTGATAAGATGCAGTGTTTAGCCTGATGTCCCATCGGCTTTAAGCATAGCTTTGTCAGGACATAAATCGCAATATAGACGACGACTCCCTTATGGGCAAATGTATCTGTACAAGCTGCGATACAAATGCAGACAATATCTCGTTTCTTTATAGGAACAACTAATAAACTAAACTTAATAAGCCACCAAGGCAAAATTTAAAAAGGTATCAGGGTGGAATTGATCCAGAACCTCCGCATCTCTAACCTTTACGAGGGCCGTCAGCTAAGATTATAAAATGCACACCTACTATTCACTATCACTAACAATACAAACAATAAAGGGTGGTTCTCATGAATTTGTCACTGAAAGCAAACTGACATTGGTGTTGTTTGCCCACAGGTGGGCGGGCACACGCGATTGCTGGTGCTAAACGACAGCACCGTCATCAAACCGCTCAACATACGCGAGTTGCATTTCTATCAGAACATTCCCGAGGACATCCAGAACTTTGTGCCCCGATACAAAGGTGAGAATCATTTTGATGCCCTACAAGTTACTTTTATAATGCTCGGTACGCTTTTTACGATTCGTTGAATGCCTCATAATCATTCATTGCATCTTACATTTTATTTTTCTTTTACAATAATGACGTTGTCTGTTTTTTATTTAGATGTCAATTTGTGTTGTTTTATGTTATTGCATTTGGAGCACTAAGGAAACTTTGTTTTTCGTTTATTATGATTTAATCTAATTTATCGCGCTAGATAAGGTTGAAAATAAGGCTTATCTAAATGAGTTAAAATAACGTCAGTGACACATTTTTATTGTGTTGATTTGCTGGCTTGGTGAATAATAATTATGGTGTGATGAGATTGTTAAGACTTGCGTCAGCATTAGAATAATGTACGCAATATCGGTATCTAATCTATTTTCATGCTACTTGTTAGTTCAGGTGACTGTAAATGATTAAAAATATACAATGATGTTTTCCTTGCTGCTCGTAATCGTGATCATCATTACATTATAGAGAATGTGGATGGTAGAGACGTGTGCTTATTGATGTCATACAAACCCGCCGACCGCTAATATATGGGCGATAACGACTACTTTCTATGTAGTCGTCAGTGTTTTCTCTTGTCGATGTTACATTTTGCACTGATTATTATTGTGAAAATATTTTTAGATTAAACAACAAAAATACTACGCTATGATAATGAAAATGTTTACGTTATATGTACCTACTTATGTTTAGATAATTTTTGGCAATTAAAATTTAATAATGGCTCTCCATTTTTTCAAAATTTCTCTCTGATTTGTCTATGACGTTGAACGCACCTCACACCCAATAACCAAGTGATAATAAACTATTTATTTATTTCTAAAAAACTTGCGTTAAAACGCATCATCTTACCGATTTTCCACATGCACAATATGGCTAGAAAGACTGCTTAACGTTTTTAATTGTAAAAAAAAATATGAAATATTGTGATAAAAAAGTTCATAGAATTTATTACATGTTACCAGTTGGCCAATATTGTGCATTATGATGTATTGAACTTTTACTGTTGTTATTTTTATTTATTCAATTATACACTGTAAATAATATTTGTACGTACAGTCGCAGAATGAAAAGGTTCGTCACCTTAGTGTCGGTTTTCGCTTGCACTAGGTACTGTAAGAGTCAAACCTGCCAACATAACAGTGCAAGAAACAGTGCTGCTAACATTTAAATAAATATGACGTTTGCTAACAAATAAGGTTTTGCTTGTTTATTTTTCTATCCCATCAGTGCAATGCAATGATGACATTGACCAATTGACAATAGTTTTTTTTATTTAATATAAATAATAATGGCAGGTTGAACCAACAAGAAGGTTTTAGTTTATCAATCATAATAATCTTCTTGACAAGATAAATTTTCAAACAACTTTGATCTGAATAATTTTGAACTTTACTGACGAACAGTTAAAGATTATTTTCTCTAACTCGAGATTATTCTGTAACATAGTTTCAAAAGGTAATATGTGCTCGCGATTCGTTGAAGGAATCAATTTGAAAACTGACGAACCTTTTCATTCCGTGACTGTACATACATACTTAAATTATTTCAGTACATTGGTATTTCCATTGTTTTATCAAAATCGATTGATGAATCATTTAGATTTCAATTTAATTAACTCCTTATCAATACTCATAAATAGATCCGCATTCAAACACTCAGGAAATTATATTTGCAAATAAATATTATGGTATCTTTACTAGAAGAGTTAGACTTAGGTATAGAGCATAGAGATAAAAGTGGGTAAGTATCTTACAAATACATACCTGTTTTTACTATTTATGAGTTGAATTGATTCATAATTTTCATTTTGTTATTCAGTAAACAAGTTGCGAGAACTCGCTCTATTATGTAAATATTTTAGCAAAACATTGGTAAAAGTTCAAAACGTAATGGAATTACGTAAGTTTTGCGTAGTAGCCTCGGTCAGTTGACCGCGGGCGGCGCAGGCGGCGCGGGTCGCGGTGAGGGGTGAGGGTGCGGGGCGGCGGGTTTGCGCGGGCGCGCCGGCAGGGTCAGGACACAATATTAGTTTCCTTGTTGTCGCAAGGGCTGCGGCGCGGCGGCGGGCGGAGCGGCGCCGGCACACCACCACTCGACCGCCCCTAATTGCGCCCTAGCGGTAAATTTACATTTTGGGTTTGTAAACCTTTACTTAAACTACATACGCATTCAACACCACACTCACACGAAACGCAAACTCAGCGACACTGACAGTTTGCCACACTACATTTTAATCCAGAAACACACTGCCCATCTGTTACACGAGACACACCACAAAAGATATACAAACCCTCTTATAAAACGTCAAACTTTATCACTTTTTTTCCATCAGATTTAACGCTGGCAACTTGCACTATAGTAAGTTAATATTGACTTTACAACGTAGATAGTAGATTACAGAACTCAAACATCCCAGTGGTGTAAATAGCACGCTGGAACTTCCAGAGATCCGGGTTCAAGCCCCGGCTGGGCATAGCTTGAGTGTCCTCAATCTTCTATCGCTTTACATCTTTCATGTGAAAGTAAATGATTCATTTTTAACTTGATAAACTGATTCTTGTGCGCTCCGCTTTGGAAGCGAGTGAATTGTTGATCAAATATAGAAATGAGATTAGTGTTTATCGTGTTGTGCGCTGTGGTCCCCTCGCTGATGAAGAAGCTGTTTGTTTCAGGCGTGATGCAGGCTTCTAACACGGGAAGCACCAAATTGGACAAGCGGTACTCGCCATGTTTCCGCGACGAGAACGGCCGCAAGCAGTCGCTGGGCGGCAAGCGCAAGCGCGACGACGTGTTCAAGTGCGTATCCGGCCCCGCCGCGCCGCCAAGGCTGACACTCCTTGACACTTGTCATGTGTCCTTTATCATATTTCAGAAGCTTTGACGTACGCCGGACCGACGCCCGACGTCGCCATTAATTCATACGATCGCAATACTTACATGACTATCCCACTAACGCGTGAGCGATGCACGACCCATTCACACTCTGCGAGCCTCCGATGACTTGCGTCGTGGAGTCGTGGTAATAATATAAATTTGATTGCAATGTAACAATATAACAGATAACACCTACTCTGTGTTTCAATTAGCTCCTACATCTATATGTTCGATGGCCAAACTTGGTGACTGCGAGCCGTGACTATAACCGCCACTTTTCCTATTGCAGATTTAAAGTTCACCGCAATGGCAATGCAAGCGAAGTGCTTAAGAGCATTGCACACATGGACAATTCAAATAAGCAGTGTAAGTTTCTGATCTATAACATTTCACGCTTGATTGTTAAACTGCAGAACATCTGAGTCTTACCATCTTTTTTCTGTTCATCCAGATTTCCTGATGATGGAGAACATAACGTCGTCGTACCGGCGGCCGTGCGTGCTAGATCTGAAGATGGGCACGCGGCAGCACGGCGACGATGCGTCTGCCGAGAAGCGCACCAAGCAGATCGCCAAATGCGCTGCCAGCACCTCGGCCACGCTGGGCGTCAGGCTCTGTGGCATGCAGGTAACAAAACACTTTTAGACTTACAAGGTTTACTCCTTCCTTAATATCATCCTTTCAGCCACAGGACGTTCATTGCTGAACATAGGCAACCCCAATGATTTCCAGATTGGCAGGTTGCAACCTTTATAAAGTCTACTTTATGGGCGGACAGTTCCTTGGTATGCTCCCTTACCTCAGATGGCCGCCAAGGTGGTAATCTTATAAAGGTTGCTCTTGCAATCTTGCAAAGCTTCATAACCATTGGATTCAGGCCACTTTGAACTGGTCAATCGAAAGCACAAAATAAGGTAAAACTATCTAACTTGCAACAGTTTCAACAGTATTAAACCGTAGACGTGGTAAAACTTGATAGTTGTCAAATCGAAAGGCCTTCGTTTCGGCGTTTTGTATGGAGCTATTCGCTCTATGAAGAAATTCGATTTCCGGAGCGATCAAAAAGTCTAGGGTGTAATAAGGTACAATAGTCGCTACACTATCGATATTTTCTAATATCCGGCGTCTCTAATAAGTTGTGTCCCTTAGGTTAGTGTCCGTGACTTCCACTCGGCATGGGGCCCACTGAAAACCAGCGTCGTGGCCTTCCCCACCGTGGGCCACGGCATATGCAGAGTGGAGTCCCATTGCGATGGGCATCGCTGCACACTGGATCGAGCCCATACAAAGCGTTGGACATCGCTTCCTTACTCAGTGTTTTTAAAATAAAATGAGATTGCGTCAACGTAGTAACTTCAAATTTTTACAGTGTAAGGTTGATAAGTTTATCTTTCTAATGTGATAGGTTTTACTTATTAGATGGCAATTAATATAAGTGAAAAAAATTCTTAAAATATAGTGATGAAAAACTTGTATTTATTGTTCAATGAAAAGCAAATACTCACTCATTTTGGTCTATTTCCATATTTAAAGAGTAACATAATCTAACAATACTCTAAATTTATTCTCATTAAGTGTTAAAATTTTTAAAGAAATATTTTTGTAAACGCCTGATTTTTCATTGCACACAATCAGTTTGTTCGATTTTGTCGAGCTTGATTTCATATTCTGTTAACTGTTAGATACATAATCTAACAATACTCTAAATTTATTCTCATTAAGTGTTAAAATTATGAAAGATTTTTTTTTGTAAACGCCTGATTTTTCATTGCACACAATCACTTTGTTCGATTTTATAGGAACTTGGCGGACTACAAAACTGACTCCAATCAACAGATTATACGTTTATATACGCCAATATACGTTTGTAGCTAAAAACTGGTTCTCATTATAATGACACTGCTTCTTCTTGCGACAAACAGTGTCAATGAAATTATTGATTTTTTTCGATAGTTATCTGATAAATAAAATGTGTAACTTAGTACCTACCTAACACAATCATAAATTAAGAAAAAAATACATACAAAATGTATGTATGGTATGTACTAAATTCAACGACGACAATCTTTTGAGATGATGACAGTGTGATTTTTTTACTATGTCTGTTTTATAGTATTTCTTTATGTTCATAAAGTATTAACTACGTTAGTACTTACCTCTGTTTATCTGAAGAGAGTGTATGGGAAAACAGCTCTAGTATCCTAGCTAAAGAACTAGCGCGATCTTTCATCGTGGTTTTTAATAATGCATACAAATCTCTATTTGCCTTGAGGTTTTCCATTTTAATGAGTATTTTTTACTGAATTGCACACGATAAATAACTCATAAACCAAAATAAACATCTTTGGTTTACCTGACATTATTTTAGTGTAACGAATTTTACCTAAGTTAATTTTGCTATGCGGAAAAATAAGGCGCTTTTATTTAGTTTTTTGTGATTTTCTCCAAAATATGGATGAACAAGGGTCCAAAAACTGAGTAATAATATCGCCCACATTGTCATCTATCATCTCTCATTCATGGTTTGTTAAAGATCGCCCAAGATGTCAACTAAAACACGCAGTTTTCATTTAAAAAAATACCTTTTAAAATTACGTCAAAATAGCCAAGCTAGAAGTTTTTTAGGCACTCATTTTAACAAACAGATTAAGATAAAGGTATAAACTAATACATTATTAAGTACTAGCATAAAACCAGTGAACGAAATTGGATATATTGACAATACAAACAGAAGTCAGAAAATCCATGATTTTGACTTTGTTCACTTTACGGTCGCACCACATAGCTGTGATAGTAGATCATGACTTGATATTAATGATATTTGATAGAATGAAGTCTCATCTTTCAATTTTTATGCAAATCAATCTTGTTTTAAGTAGTTGCATTTAAAGCGCCATGTCCAACACCTTGTATGGGCTCGATCCACCGTGCGCTGTTGCGACAGGATAGCACTGCTCAGTTCATTTTTTATTTCCTTGTAATATTTATGTGCTATTTCTGTCTTTTTTTCTGTATACTTTCTCTGTCATGTATAAGTGTTTCTTTCTAAGTGTTTCTCTCGTTCATCGTAATAAATGTTTCTTTCTTTCTTCCCTTAGGTGTTCGTGCCTGAGACGGGCGCGTGCGTGCGCCGCGACAAGTACTGGGGCCGCGCATTATCGGAGGCGGGGCTTCGCGAGGCGCTGCGAGACTTCTTCGCGGGCGGCGCGGGGATACGCGCGCGGGTCGTGCGCCGCGTGCTGCGCGACTTGGATGCACTGCGGCGTGCCATCGCCAAGCAAACCAGCTACAGGTTCTACTCCTGGTGAGTGCTCACTGATATTCCATGTAGATTTTTTTAATGAAAATATTATGTAGAATAGAATAGAATAGAATAATTGTTTATTTGCAATGGTCTGTCTTTGTTTATATAATAATAATAATAATGTAATTGTATAATTTAATAGTATTTAGTTTTCTAATTTTAATGTTTATTTGATTTTATAATTTTAATGTTTATTTAATTTTATTTTAGGTAATAATTCTCTATTTTATTTAATGTTATTTTTAAGTTTTTGCAACGCCTTCACTGGGCGTCACATGTTCAATATTATGTTCCTGTCAACCCTTACCCATGTGACATGCAATAAATAATTTGAATTTGAATTTAGATTCCGATTTGTCCCGTTTGGGATCTAATTTTTAAAATCATTATTCTCAGTCATTATTGGGTATTATCTTGCTTTGTATGAAGATTGATTGGAATTGACAATCAACCATTTTTTTTATCTTTCTTTGGGACAACAAACAGTAACATTGAGGGCTTATGTACTAAATATTGATAACTTAAAAATTTTACGTTGTATGTAATGAGCGAACTTCACAAATCAATATTGACTGAATTCAGAGTTATAAAATCGGGTTTCAAATTATGGGTGACTCTTGTATTCCAAGGAAGGAGACAATGAAAACTATAGACTAAGGTTCTTGAAACAGCAGCGAATTTAATCAGAAGAATCGTGTTCGATAATTAATTTGAGATAAAAACATTGACCGACCGAGCAGCTTCTGAGATCGAGAAATGCCCAACAGAGTGCATCGTAGCGTACACAAGCTAATCTCGTGACCTCCTTCACGGTCGGTTGGTGCAAAAGGTAACCAAATTATATGTCCGCAGCTCGCTGCTGATTGTGTACGAGGGCGACCTGCGGCCAGCGGAGGCGCCCGGTGCGGAGTACGATGCGGACGCGTCAAGTAGTTCCGCGGAGCTGCCGGCGCCGGGACACTTTGATATGTCCACGCTGCACGACGAGATCTCGACTGACGCGCCCGCGCGCGAGCCCTTCCGCCCGCACTCTGAGGAGACCATGGGAGGATATGAGGAGGGAGAGGTAAGAATAGAACAGAACTGTCTCTCAAAATCCCACAAAATTTAATTGCGTGGTAATAGCACTTCGTTTTCAGCCAAATGACGTCCACTGCTGGACAAAGGCCTCCCCCAAGGTTTTCCACAATGAACGGTCCTGCGCTGCCCGCAGTATATATAATAGCACTTATGCGAAGATATCTTTTCTATAATTTTGGTATGCGTTGACGTCAATGTTAGTCAAATAAATATATGGATACGAACACTGGCCGATCGTCAAAACTTTTTAGTTGATAACAAGTGAGTCATTTTGTGTAACAACAGGAAAGACATTTGTTGATCATATCGAAAATAAATCGTCCGTGCACTTAGCATGTCATATGACATGTGTTTCGAGTTGAAAATACTCGTAATTAAAATTTTCCACGCTTTCTCCGTTGAAGTAAATATTATTGCGCTTGCACAAAAGTGGCCTATTTACACACCGAACACCGGATCTGACCGCAAGAGCGGGCCCGAGTCGAGTCATGTGCAATCATTCTAGTCATGCACGAAATTATCTTGCCGTATGTCGGTTCTGCACGGATACGCACCATGTAGCAGAACGTATCACGTGCAGGTTAAGCGTGAAACCTGATATTTTCATGAGTGTCGAATGTCGCGCGACATTAGACAAAAATCGCACGACATGTCGCCTCCTGCATTGATATGAGACTAAGGTACTCACTACTAGCGTTATCATTCATTGAGCGTACCTTCGTTCCCAGGGCGAGGTGGCCGGTCACTCGCCGCGCCGGCAGCCGCCCAGCCCGGACTCGACGGACAGCTGGATGGCGTACTCGTCCACGAGCAGCGAGTCGTGGCGCGGCGAGGCGGAGGCGGAGGCGGAGGCGGCGGCGGAGGCGGAGGCGGAGCGCAAGCGCGCGCGCACGTGGCCCGCGCCGCCGCCCGAGGCGCGCGTGGACATCCGCATGATCGACTTCGCGCACACCGCCTACGCCGGCGCCGCCGCCGAGTCGCCGCTGGCCACCGCCACGCCGCACCACGGGCCCGACTGCGGCTTCCTCACCGGCGTCGACAGCCTCAAGCGCCTGCTCACCGAGATCCTCCCGCCGCAGCCCTACAGCTAATGAGCCGGGCGGGCCGCACTAGAAAAAACTAAAAACCAACCTTTCGGACGAATTCTGAGGGGCTCCGACGCCGACCCCGCGCCGGCGCGCCCGCCGAGACGACCTCGAGGGGCGCCTGAGTCGGAACCGTTCTCTTCGGAAATTTTAAACTGTTCGACTGATGTATGTAATTTTATCGGGAAACTGTCGCCGCGCGTTCGCACAGGGCGGACGTCCGCAGGTGTTCCGTTCGCTTTGCGCTCGCCGTCGAGGCTCCCCCTGTGGGACCGTCCGGCGACCGTTGCACCAAGTGAATGTTGGCGGTACAAAATATTTTAATTTTACGTTTAACATATTATACTTTCAAAGTGGGACCCAGTAGGTATTCTTATATCTCGTATTTTTAAGTATTACTATTAAGTTATTCCAGATTGACGTGCTTTTGATTTGTCCGAGTCGCTTTACTTTGTCTATGAGTTGGTTCTGTAAATTATTTTACCTAATTATTGCATAGACATTCCCTGTCGGTTTATTGAATTCTTTTATACCTATGATTGGAATACACAAAGATTGTAGATTTTGCGATTAACCCTTTTCGGTTTGCATTTAGTTTCACACGTTTGTTAAAATGAATTAACATTGACCCGCACACTCGCCGTCGTCATTGATAACATTATCGTGTTCGATCACAAAGGTACTAATTGTTCCCAGTCAATGAAGCCAAAGTAATACTTACTAGAAATAATTCAAAGAACAACTGTTAGGAGTCTAGTGCTCTTGAAGTAGATTTGAAGTACTAGACTTAAACATATTTATCTGACATCCAAACCGTTGTTTGTGAGCCATTATTGTAATTTAAGTAGTAACTGCTTTTCCAGAATGTAACTAACAAAGACAAATTTAGTATATTTTGCGGAATGAGTGTGCCAAACATTGTTTTGTACCTAAAATAGCACACCTCACACGCATGTGACAACAGTTATAATTTCGCAAACAGTATTATGGAAATTGTAAGTGAGAATGAGCGTTTGTTTGTGTAAATATATTTGTAATGGAGTGTCAGTATGCAGTCTGGTGTTGATGGGAAGTGAAGCGGTTGTAAATATTCTCGTTTCGTACGAGAGATGTTCCATAAAGGTGGTTGCACACAGCTGCGATAACTAGATCGTTGCGGCCGCCAACCTTCTGTATGTTGCGTGCTCGTTCGAATATTATGTGTGGACTGAGATCGCAACTGTGTGCAGGGGCCTTTAGCGAGTCTGAGCGGGCGGGCGGTCCGCAGCGATTGACCATAGTGTTAGCCAACATTCCTTCGTGCTGCATTCGTCATTGTTTGTCCTTTACTTTATTTTTATTAGAGTGATAAATTTATGAAAAGTACCTGGTTTAATTAGGATGCTAGGTTGTATTGCAAATTATCATTTATGTCTGTTATTTTAAATAACTGTATGACACTATTTTGTTAAATAAATTTTAGGTATTAAATTATTGGTTTTATTTACACTACTTTTCATCCATCTGTACCATACAATATACATAAAGCAACGCAACGCAGCTATAGACTGTAGATAGATCTTTACGAGGAATGGAGAGAACATCATTTTTTTTAATGTGAACTTATGGGAACATCTTTACATTTTATAACATTTAATTTTTTCGTTTTATTTTCATTTAATCAAACACAATTTTATTTAGATATATTAAATAGCAGCCATCGACATCAAGAGCGAGTTTTTTTATTTTGTTAAGAATTGAATTTTATACCTTTCGTTCGTTCGTTCAGCCAGCACAGAATAATTGGGTATTTGCCACCACTCGCTAATAATTCTAAAGCGCATTTTTTTTAAAAGGCACTACATTCTGGTTTTAAAAACTTAATTCATTTTAAATTAGCTGTAAATTTAGATTTTTGGTTGCATTGTAATCGAAAAAGTTGTTTGAGTTGTCAAATTTAGTGACGTCACTGGCTAGTATTGCCATACAAAATCTTTGGGAGTTTCGTTTTGACAGTTTTAAAAAGTAGGTACGTTAATTGATTGGTGGTGGCAAATACCCTATTCAAACATTTATGTTTCGGCCTTATAAATTACCTACCTACATAAAATTTGTTAATTTCTCATGTGACTGTAAGGTTTTTAACCTTCGTATACCCGCGCCAAAAAGCATTACACATATACCCGCGCACGGTCTCTCAGACCGAAAGTTGAGCTCGTGTTTTATAGTATAATTGTGTACTGTATTGTACTATAATTTGCTTTAAATTATACGTTAAGGTATTAATTGCATAAAAAAATTAAAACAAATTTTATATTTATAGATATTTTGGTTTAATCAGCCTTTAAATCAGACTTAAAATTTACACAAAATTTTACATCAGTCTAAATTTAATAACAAAAATAAACTTTTTTTCTTTTGAAGCCTAAAAAATTACTATAAAATATAGTTAATGGAAGTATCCTTAGTAATATAAAAGAACAAAACAGTATTTATCACTAGTGGTTTCAATGGAATAATAACCGGAACATACCATAACTTTATGCTCGTATAATGACAATAATACTTTTTGCATGTGACAAATCACCCTTTTGCTCAGAATAGGTGTTCTTCTCCTGCACTTCTAAATCATCCACCACCTCATCACTGTCACTCTGGTCATCTTAGTTGGAGTCCGAATCTTTACATTCTAACAGCGCCCTTATCCTTTCTTCGTTCATTAAGACGACAAAAATGGTTAAAACAAATTAGTAATAATAAAATACAGTAATATTTAATTGATATGAAACGCCACTAAAATATGACAATGCATTTTATTGAGTAATATTGTAAAATAAAACAATAGTAACATACCTGAAGTAGTTACACGTATACCCGCGTCGGTCTCCCAGACCGAATAACAGCAAAAAGTGACACACATACACTTGGTAGCAGCGATCGCCCAACACTAAACAATGGCAGGCCACAAATCATGAAGCTACTAAAAACCGCAAAGTCATAGAGTTAATACTTTTTGAAAAAACTTCGAATTATTAGTTCGTCGGTCTGAGAGACCAACGCGCGGGTATAGGAAGGTTAATGAGAAATAAATTTTAATGTTCTTTAAACCTTATGACGTCTACTTCTGGACAAAGGCCTCCCCTAAGGATTTATATCATTTATATCTTTATCAATGTAAAAAAGAAAAACTACATAATGAGGATTTACTTCAAGTGATTCCTGGACCTGACTCTGTAGGGTTACTTAAAAAAAAGTATGGTTTCCCGCCAAATCAGTCTCGCGGCAGATACTCCGCTTCCGCTTTATTTTTCGTGATTAATTTTCAAATGCACATATAATTTGCGCGAATAATTAAAAAATGGCAGATTCAAGCGAAGTTCAAGCTTTAGAGAAAATATCAACTGAAGTTGGTGAATCTCAAATTAAAATTACACTGTCAAGCCAGTGCATAAAGGGTAAGTTCATTCGTGCAACGAAATTTATGCTCTACCTTTTCATGTGTTACCTATTAATCGAGTTATTTTGTAATTTTAATGCATGTATAATTACATTTTAGCTCAAGGATTTTTAGTTGATAAATTGAGAAAGCAATCTGAACGTCAAAAGGAGATTTGTAATTTCGTTAATAGCAGCAATTTGAAACTGCAAACAGAAATAAAACAAGCTGAATTAGAAATCAAAAGGTAAGACAAACAGAATACCTACTTGTGGTGTGGTGGCTATATTTTAGTTAAGTGAAATAAAATATAAATGTACACAGTACACCTCCTCTGCCCTTTTACCTAAGTAAGTACTGCTCGCCTAGTCGTCGCGTTGGTCGACAGTCTGTCGCAGAAAGTTTATTTAGTCGGTCGTAAAAATATTACTTAGTATTCTCACTCTCGCACACTTTTAAGAGTAGGTAATTACATAAAATTAACAGATCTGTTACCTACTTAAAAATATTAATTGGTTTCAAACAGAAACTTTACTTTTCAGCCAATTAGGCGGGAAATCATTACCTCAATTACCTGACAGATATATTTATTTACTTACTTACGCATTTATCAATTATCATCATCATTTCAGCCATAGGCCATCCACTGCTGAACATAGGCCTCCCTAAGCATTTATAATATCAATTAATTGCCAATTTTTCAGTTTAATCAAAGCTCACGAAACAATCAAAACTTCAAACGTAGAACTAAAAAAAGAAGTATTGCTAGCTAAAGAACGCAAATTGGAAATTGAAGAACGTATTACCAACGGCGAGAAGAAATATGAAGACCTTTGGATGCAGGCTAAAAAAAGATATGAGAGTATTCCCTATGTGCAGAAATTGCTCGCTGCGACAAATAACACTCAAATATTAAAAGATAACATCGTGGCTCTAGGAAATCAATCACAAAAATTGAGTAAAGAATATGAAACCAAAAAACAATTGCTGGCCAAATTAGACCGTGAACGTATTGTTAAATTAGCAGAATACATGGTCTACGAATTACCAAATAGCGTTAAAATATTACAGGAAAAGTCTACAGCCATAAATAACATGACCAGCGAAATCGAAAGTTTTCTAAAAGACCATGAATTGGCAAACAATCCTAATGTTCCCATTCCAAAGGAGAAAGAGCCGGTGACGGCAGAAAACAGACGTGAAATAACGGTAGACGACGGCTGGCTAAATATCTACCAAAACAATGAACGTGACACGTTAATGGTCAGCAAAAATTTTCGTAATATATTAATTCGCAGTATCTTGTATTTTTTCTTCGTGTACTTAGCTTACACTTAATTTTTGTTGTATAGATGCCGCGTTTGCAGTTTATAAATTCGGATTTTGATGTGCTGAGTGCAAAACTGGACGAGGTAACGATCCACTGATGTTTAAATTAATAATAGAGACAATAAATATCTCTTACCTATACAGTGTGTCCGGGCATGTAGTGATCAAACTTTAAGGGCGTAATCTATGGACAATTTTATCGGTGAAAATACTTTAAATTTGGGGCTTGACCCATTTCTCGCATATTTACAAGGATTTAAGTTTTTAATTTTAAGTTTTCACCTCTTCCTTCAAAAACAAGCGATAGCGTGGGTAGTTTAACATTTATAAACAAAAAAATTATATCATGCGATAGCCAATAAAATTATCTATTAGTAGAAGTAGAAAACAGATACAAGTTTCATACATTTTAAGGATGTAAGAATGGATTTAATTAGAAATAAACATGATTTTTTTCACATCTTTTTCAGTTATTTCCCAACACAAGAAAAACCAGGTCGTTAAGGTATGTTTTATTTGCATTTTATTATTAGTATTTGAGCTATTCTACAAAACGAATGTAAATTTATTAGTCTACGTCTATTAGTTTTGACGTAATTGTTGAACAAAGATACCCCTTCCCAGCGGTTTCCATAGCGCACGCGACATGCGAAAATGCACTGCCTGAAAGAATCACACAACCTATTCCGATTACTATGGAAACCGCTGGGCATGGGTATCTTTGTTCAACAATTGCGTCGAAACTAATAAACGTAGACTAATAAACTTACATTCGTTTTGTAGAATAGCTCAAACACTAATAATACAATGCAAATAAAACATACTTTAACGACCTGGTTTTTCTTGTGTTGGAAAAGAACTGAAAAAGAAGTGAAAAATATCATGTATTTTTCTAAATAAATCCATTCTTACTCCCATAAAATTTATAAAACTTGTGTTTGTTTTCTACTTCTACTAAAAGATAATTTTATTGGCTATCAAATGATATAAAATATTTGCTTATTAATGTTAAGCTACCCACGCTTTCACTTGTTTTTGAAGGAAGAGGTGAAAACTAAAAATTAATAACTTAAATCCTTGTAATTTTGCGATAAAAGGGTCAAGCCCCAAATTTGAAGTATTTTTATCGATAAAATTGTCCCTAGATTTCGCCTTTTAAGTTTGATCACTACATGCCCGGACACACTGTATAACAAACAATAATCTTTCTATATTTTAGATTAAAATAAGGAAAGTTGAAGCTCTGAATAGTTCTTCGGGAAAAAGAGTAGATCATATAGAATTAGTTTCCGAAATATCCAGCAAACGGATTAAGAAGGATGATGAGTTCTCAATATTTTTCAATAACCATAGAATTGATTCCGAAACCGAAAAGAAAGATGATCATTTCTCTAATAGAAGACTTATTAATATTCTGGAGGATGTTAAACTTGATAGAGTTGATACTTACAATCTAGTATCGAAAGTTCAAATTGATAAGTTGAAGGGAGTTGATATGATTGGAAGAGATGTTGCAAAAGATAATGAACAAGAGCTTAAAGCAGGAAACGATAAGGTAACTGATACTAGGGTTTACGGTTAATTATAATGATTATTTATTGATTTTCGTAAATTTTTAATGTTTAAACATGCAGGATAGTGAAATAATAGAAGAAATTGATTTAACTAAGAATAAATCGGATAGCAATATATTAATACCACCTACACAGTTTTTGGATTTAACTCAGGTACATTTTAGATTTACTTCTTTCTAGATTTTAGGGTTTATAGATAATATTTACGTAATTGAAACAATTATTACAGGAAAAGATTTTTAACAACTCTCAACAGCAAGTAGAGGTAATAGTGCACATGTCTATGTCAGAACAATCGCCAGGAAAGTTAAGTCAGACTTTCAAGAATTCGCAAGAAGCAGTTAGCAGGAAAAAAGTAACATTTGATGTGCCACTTTCACAAGAAATTACTAGTAAAGTGTGTGAAGACGAAATGAAAGAAAAGTCGTTGGAGGAAAATGAAGCAAATGAGACTGTAGATAGCCAAGTTAATATAAGTTTAACTAGTGAAGAAAGCTACATCAAAATAAAAGACATGATAATGAGAAAACATAACTTGGATTTGTCACCACAATTTGTGTATGCTAAGAATAAGTTAATGCAAATGGTGATTATTATGATGAAAATTGTACAAAAAGTAGAATAAATAAAATTATTACATATTATTATTAGGAATATTAAATGAACTCGCGCTTTTTTTTTCAGAATAATGATGAAAAAATTATAACATCTAAGTTCTTTCAACCAAGTAAGGCTAGTATTGAAAAAGATGATGATAAAATAGTTGAAAATACTGAAGCTATAGAAAGAGAAAAAACTACAAAGGAATGTGATAATGAAGAAGAACCACCTAATAAACAAGATATTAAAATCAATGAAGTCATTGAGAATGCCATGGATGTAGATGACATTGTTGTATCAAGTCCCAAGGTTGCAATTTATTACTCAAATCCCTCCAAACTTTCAAAAATCGATAGGGTTAATAAATGTTACTGTGGTTTATAGATTCTCTCTCTTCTCTAGAAGACCTGTCAGGAAAATGTTTGCAAAATATTTACATGTAATTTAATGTAATTTTTAGTTGAAACCCACCCCTAAGGAAAGGTCTGTTGCTGGGTTGCTGTTTAGCCATGGTACTCAGGGTATACCTGACTCTCTGAATGTCTCTATAAGTACAACAGGATTTGAAGAGGGTGATGCAGACTTTCCACAGTGCATTGGTAAGATTAATTAAATCTTATGATCATTGTGTTTTATGTATAAAGTATGGGTAATTTATGATGTCTTTTCTAGATTCAAGTTTGCTACTGTCTCCAAAAGCAGATCTTCCTATGGCAATGGGTTCAGATAATATTGATGTGGGTTCACAAGAAGTTCCTAATTTTCTCTCAGGTAAAATATTCTTATTGAAGATTATTATTACAATTGTGTAAAGTAAACCTATCTTTGTTGATGAATGAAATTAAATTAACATTATTACATTTTAAAATTATGTAGGTCTAAGAAAAACAGGACTTTCCTTTTTTGGTCAATCTGCAACTACAGATACTAAGCCTGATTTAAGTGGCCACACTCAAGGAAACAATTTTAATTTCAATTTTGGTGGAGATGAGAAGAAAGCAAGAGGAGGACTGTTTAGTATGTTTCGTTAATTTTTTCTGCTGATAGGCAAATATAACATTGATTGATCTAATACTATTATAATGATTTTCATAAAGCTTTATGTTTCAAAATTGATACTCTGATACTCAAGATAATTTAAATAAAAAATTAGTTTGAGATTATGAAATTTTTTTATTTAAAATGACAATATCATTTAGTACTCATTGATGTAATTGGCATGCTCTTACTGCTATTAACTGAAGTAATATGAACAAAGGTGCAAATACTTCACTGTATTCTATGGCTGAATCTCCCTGTAGCTTTCTACACAATAAAAACTTAAAAACAAAGGTTAAACCTAGAAATATTGCACTCCAAGATGCTCTATACATAGAAGCTTTGTAGGAGTTCTCTAGATTCATTCTAATACATACAATACAGCAGAAGTACGCATTCATTGCATCACTTACAAACAAAGGTGCAAATATGGTCCACCAAGCACTATTTACCACTCCATCTACCTTTAATGCTAATAGCACTGAGAATATAGTTATAGTTATCAAGTTTATCCATATCTCAAACACAGTCAGTCCAATCCATTGCACAATTTCATTCAATTTAAAAAACATTTCTATGTTTATTAACTTTGATTTGCACCAAGCATTGCAGTCCGGAATACCCTAATGTGGATAGATGACGAGTGCCTCACTTGCGCGCCGAAATCCAGTTCATCAGACAGTGGTTCCAGATCATCTGTATAAATGTTTGATAGTTTAGAGTTTTGCACATCAAACATGAATAATATCCTAGCAAATATTGAACAATAAACTTACCAACTAAATCTACAGTGCCAGTGTTGACTTCAATTTGACAAGTCCCAGAGAATAATATCTCCAGTTGCAATGCCAAGTTACAGCATCTCTGAATAGCAGCTCCAAGACCGTGTAATATGATTTCCTTTTCACCCTTTGTTAGAAGATCGCAGCATTTATCTAGCTGTGCCTAAAAAGAAGTTGAATAGAGTAAGTTCTTACATTTTATTCTTACTCACATATGCCGTGTGTTTTAATGGGACAAAGTGAACTTACCTTAAAATTAGTTTTTTTGGTAATGAATATAACATTGTTTCCTTCGATTGGTCTTACTGGTAGTCGTTTTTTCACAGCATAATTTTTATTGGGGCGTTTAAAGTGCTTTTTTTTAGATTCTTCTTTCTTTTGCGGAATGTTTTCATCTGCCATATTTTCAACAAATTTGACAGTTGGTAACACGTTGAGATTGACAGTTTGTTGACATTGACACTAGTGATGTGCCGTCGTTGATTTCCGAGCTCCAAAAAAAAAATACTTCGAGCACATTTTGTATGAAGGAGAGGGTGCGTACCGCCAGTACCTCACGCAGAAAACACCGCACCGGAATGTTCTTACCCGACTGCAGAAAGGTGGATATGCATAGCATAGGGTAACGGATTATTGTATTGCTAAAATCCGTTAAAAGAAAAATAACTTTCACAGTTTTTTGCCAATAAACTTTTGAGAATGAGAATACCTGGTATTCTCTACTTACTTCTATTCTTTATTCTGTAAAAGAAAAATTGCAAAAAAAATTAAATTAATTGACGGAAAAGTTGTCAATTCGATAGAAGATAGACGTTTTGGATTATGTGTTTCATCAATTCGGTTATTTTTAAATGATGAACTTGTAATCCTTATTGTTATGTTCTTGGGGATGTAGAAAATCTAAATCCTCATGATTTCTCAGACGTAGGTAGTTCTTAAATTCCTGTAACATTAATGTTAGTCTCACAAAATGGGTTGTGTGTGTTGTTCTCTCAGTTCATTCGTTTCAATCGTCTTAGATGCTTTAGAAAGGTAAGCTTGGTTTTGTGTTGAGATTTTTGTTTTAAGATGAGACCCTTCATCCGATAAGTCCTTGTTTGCAGAATCTCTCTATGCACAGTATGTGCCATGTTAACTTGTTGTCTTCTGTTCACAATCATAACTGTAATGGTCATGGGAATCGGTATCGGGTACCATTACTGTTTTGTATCCAATTCTGTGGAAGCTATGGGTAAGCTTAAAAAGTTATATTACATATTTATTAGGACAAAGATCTTTTTGAGCTGATTTAAATGATTAAATCAGCTCAAAAAGATCTTTGTCCTATTCATATATTCATAATATTAACATACATTCTCATGTATTTTATAGCAAAGGCTGCCAAGGCAGCTGGCGCTTTGCGGTCGGGCCCAGAAAGAACACCGGGCCATGTGATGCGATCCGTAGACAAGGCCATCAAGCGAGGGTTCGCTCACCGCCTGTCTCGCCGCGACATTGATGGCCCCACCCCTCAAAATAACACCAACGAAGGTCTCCTCCAAGAAATTGCCATCACAAATCGAACAAACCTTACGAATTTCATATCAGATCGAACAAATTTTACGAATTTCATATCAAAATGACAGTTGTATGCATTGGGATATAAATTAAACATGTTGTAAAAATGCTTAAGTTTTATTGATGTGCTTCGCTAGCATCGAGTTCTCATTCAGGTCATTTCGTACAGAGAAACAGTAAATTTCTCTTCAACGAGGTCAGGTTAATAGCTGAAGTGGCGCGGGCTCCGAACTGTTTCTCAAAGGCCGCAGGAAGGGCTCGCTGGTGGTGTTGTTCCGCGAGCGACGGAAGCGGCCTATCAACTTTCGCGCCAATTCCCGTTCGTGGGGCAGCAGCTCTGGCTCCTTTGGTGGCCTATAGAAACACACAAAACTTATGGGACCAGAAAAAAGCAGATTGTCTCGGATCAGAAAAACAACTCCCGACCGAGTTCTAGCCTTTGTCGCTAGCTATTATCATGTCTACACTGTCGGTAGTGGTAGTTACAACGGCCGTTAAGAGACTCCAAATGGTGACATAAATCATGTAACAGACGACCCATGCGACATGTTAACTATGCTTTAAATCTTAATATTAATGCGACCATGCGTTAAAACAATCAGACACTACCTTTCAGTTTCCAAAACGACAATCGGTGTCTCCGTGGATTCCATGAAAAGACTTTCTCCTGGTTTCTTGGTTTGATACACCTCTGGAAACATTAAATTCATATTATTACCAACTATCAAAAAAGCACGCTTTAAACCCGTATGCAAACCAGATCGAGCAATATTCCATTCAGAGCGCGAAATTATTTTGTATAAATCACACTAAGCAGGGACGGATATCGCAAAACTAGCTAAATGGAAGCAGACAACGTTTGAGTAGAATGTGATAAAAGGCATCAATAAACTTTGCTACGTAAATAGCAGAAGGTGAAATATGTAAAAAAATGATTATAATCCTCCTTCATACCAAGAAGTGGATGTGGTGCGTGTTCGACTTCGGATCGGTTGACGGCCACGAGGCGCACCACGGGCTGCGACTCCGGCCCGGCGCGAAGCATCGTCGGCTCTGTTGTCGATCTCGAAGACACTGGAAAAATATTATTTTGTCACTTTTGGTAATATAGCCTGCTTGGCAGCAATTTCTATAGGGTGCCGCGATTGTCAAGCACGTTACATTGTCGTAAGTGGTAAGCAAGTTTATGTGGGTAGCAGTAAAAGTTGCATTTTCTATAAATTATCACTGCTACGAAATGTACCATTGACAAAAATATTGTGCAAATGCGGGTGGGTGAAGAAAATTCATCGCGCCCGAGCAGACGACGCCGCATCTCTTCAGTCTGCCTGCGACTATGATACGTGCAACCGAGTTGAAACGTCGGGTGGGTAAATATCTGTTTACCTAAGTGTTTTGTTGCAAAATCCCTTAGCAATTGAGGAGTGTCTATTCAAAAGGGGATATTTACATTTTTATTATTTATTAAACTGAGTATGCAGTCTTGTTCTTAGTGCTGAATACTCACTTTCGTCACTTGAATCTTAATCAAAACGGGATATTCTCCCAAGTAAAGCAGCTTCAAATATAAGTGTTCATTTCAGAACAGGATATTTACACTTACAAAATTAAAAAGAAATAGTTATTTTTCATTTCATAACAAGAGAGGATATTTACAATACAAATATTTACACTATACCAATTAGCCGTTTCAAAACGGGATATTTACTTTTACATAGTGTTTTATTTCCTTTAACTTTATGCTTTAGGATTTATTTTTAGACATTTTACTCTGTAGAACGGAACGCAAAATTAACGTAAAACGGAATCTATGTTGTGTGATTGTCTGACACCTGATATTGGACAAATCAGAGCCCCGATTACGGTAACTTTTATAACGTCTACAATCCAGACGCGTTTCTGATTCTGCGATACGATTGGTCAAAACAGCTGACGTACGCTGTTGAACGACCAATCGTATCGCAGAATCGAGAAGCGTGTCTGGATTGTAGACTTTAAATATTACCGTAATCGGGGCTCTGAGCCTCGATTACCGCGCGGAGTGAGCCAGGCCTGCTACAGTGCAGCACGCGGCAGGGGGCATGTAAGTAGCTATTGGTTATTATATTGAGGCGATAGTTGTTTATTCAAACAAAACCACAGGTTTTGGTATTTACAGATAAACGCGAGGACTATTAACTGATATTTTTTTAAATTATGTCCAAACTTACTTGCAAAGGACGCCAGTTCTTTCTGAGCGTAATGATAGCCCACTGATATACCGTATATCATTAGTAAAATAATTGTGAACATGAGAAGCATCAGCACGAATGCACAACAAGTCCAGGTTAATACTCTGAAAATGAAATACAAGTTGGTTTAAGTAGAGAACAGGCTCTTTCTGCCAATTTATGTATGTTTGTTCACAAGGATACACCAGGCGTGATATGTTGACCTTAAGATCGCCCTTATTCTCTACGGAATATTAAAGACTTTGGCAGTGCAATAATTCCGCTTGATGTTTCCTCTTGTTTTGTACAAGTTTGCTTACCTTTCAACGCAAAATGTCATGGAACAAAATACTGACTGTACCAGACCCATGATTGCTGTTTATCTTTGATTTGTTTTACCAAAATTCAACCTCGATCGAAAAGAATGCAGACAACGCTGTAACGAAAAAATATTAAATAAAATTGATTTGACACAATAAGTTCAAAGTAAATAAATACTGGATATACCTCATAATATGATAAAACTAATCAGCAGATGAGCAGTCTGTCTTGAATAACATTGTTTGATATAAAACACTGATAAATAATAGGATTAATCAAAACCATAAAACGGCGAAGAGACCATTCTTCTAAACGTCACAATAACGTATGTCTTCNATGTTAGGAATTTTGTTTTTCACGAGGAATTGACCGAATCTCATTGGGTGTATGTAAGATCCCTGGGAGGTTTCAGATTCCAATCTGGACACATGTACAATGAAGGGACCTTTGTCCTGGTCGTCATAAATTTTGGGGGCAATTACCAAAGATGGATGAGTGTATATTGGTTGGCTGCTAGAAGAGGTTAGCAAAGTTGGAGTTGTACTAGGTCTCTTGGCAGGTTCTACGTCCGAAGTGGATTCCACTTCCGATCGTCTTTTTGTCCCCGTTTGGGTGAAAAGAGGAGGGGAAAGCTCCATAGGGGTTGCGGCCCTATCTGGAGGATCAGGAGGATCAGGGGGGCAAGGTTCCATTCCTAAGAACGGTACTTACCCGTAAAACAATCGACCACCACCTTAATTAAGACTATAACTAAGGTTAACTTAACGAAAATATGGTAAATTTGGAAAAACAATTACGATAACACAAAATATTTGTCAAAACACGTGTAGAAACTAACACTCCCACAGACAAAGTCCCAATAACGTATGTCAAGTCAAACAGTATTTTTTTTTTTTTTTTTATGGCAATGCTATGCCTCTTGCCAGTGTCGAGTTAAAAACGGGGAAACGGGAATTAAAAGGAAAAATGCCTACTTTCGGAATTTGGAAAGGAATTAATGATCAGGAAAATGAGGAATATACAGGAGATATTTATATAAAAGTCAAACAGTTTGCTGCCAGTTTGAAAAAAAAAAGTAAAATTGAAAAGTGTTTCAAATCTTTTTTGTCATTTTACATGGTCATTCATTGGTGGCTGGCACTTGCACATATTTTCTACTCACTCCTAGCTGTTCTGCAGGCTGTCCTCAATGGTGGTGTATGGTTTATCACTCTCACTCACAACTATAGGTCTATCGCTAAACTCAGTAAGTGCCTGAGGTATGGGAGCAGTACGGGAGGAGTTACATTGACATATTATGACGTGACAGAGCATATAGATGACCCACGCTGAACTGTCCCACCAAACTCAATGACAGGGGGGCGCTACCATCGTTCAACTATATGGTTTCCAACATGGCAAAAATCGGAACCAGCGATCCGGTATTGACGGTGGCGCCCCACTGTTAATGACATCGACAGGACAGTCCAGTATTTTGGAACTATACAAACGCTGACATTGACGCCTCAAAAACACCTTCCCGTGCCGCTTATATACCTCAGGCACTGAGTTAGAGTAGGCGCACACCGTTGATTTTTCGTCGGCCGATAGTTTAGTCGGGCAGTTGATCAGTATGGGCATGTATGGGAGTGCGCACACTACGCCGATTCGATTTGGCCGATTCTTCATGCAATTTAAAATCGGGCACAACTATCGGCCAACTAAAAATCAACGGTGTGCGCCTACTCTTAAGCACTACCTATAGAGCGAATATGCGATAGCAACTTACATATCCGAAATCCCCGAAACGTCATTTCTAATTGGCCATAAAAAGGCGTAAATTTTGAGCATTACAACGTTTGTGTAATAAAAAAAAAGTTTCATTTTATAAACAAATTTTATTTAACGAAATTGCAGTAAAAATACATTACAACAGTCTCAAAAGATAAAAGTTTTCACAACCAATACTATTATCCAAAAGGAATTTCATGGTTCAAGTACTGACACTGCCTTCATGATTACAGTAAAAAAGCTAGAAAGTGGTTTTTGTTTTGATTCATTCAGATGTATATCAAACAAAAATGTATAATAAAGTGAAAATATATTGTGTAATTAATGTGAAGTTTTAACTGTTACAAGGCAGTGTGGAAGCATTTACAGAAGACTTAGAATTACAAAGAAAACCTTCAGATTCAAACATCAAGATGGTAACATGTCTAGTCTAGTACTAACATTTGACATAAAAATATCAAAAAAATATCTTACAATTTATGTAATGCGAGCTGCGTGTACGATCATTAAAGAGCGGAATATACATTTATCCAATCCATTTAAAATAGTCAAAAATATACACAACTCTAGTAGGTATAAGACATTTTAAATATATGGCTTTCAGTTATGTAAAAAGGCACTAAGTGATTCTATTTACTAAATAATAAACAGTCATATGAAAATTATTGCTTACGTTATATTTTTTAATATAAATTACTACAAAAACAAAAAATATAATTAATTACTTATACTCACTCATACATAGGAATTTAACTAAAAATAAAACCAAAATATACATAAGAAATGATTTTCACAAAATAATATAAAAGTAACACAAGTTACGTAACAAGAAAGAAAAAAAAAACATTTAACAATACGACGAAATCAAAATAATTTATCAGTACGATTATTCCATAAATTCGCCTAAGATTGAAATTCGGAGGTGAACACATCAAATACAGGTTGTCTCAAAAACGGTATCAGGACATGAGTTTCGTATAGCTTTAGCGCTAGGAACGCGTTCTGTTTGCCCTAAGGGCCAATGCACATGGTGTTTGTTATACAACCCAAGCTGCCAAGTGCGCAGTTTACTCGGCCGGGTTGTAGGCACTGTATATGCACGTCGCGTTTTCTGCTCTGTTAAATTTAAAAAAGGCATTCCGATTGCTTGAAAAACGCACTTTAAACGTGGTGCGCATGGGTTTTAATCTTTAACCAGTCATTGACGATATTATTGCTTTATATGGGCGTCTGCAGGGGGTGGGTTTTCTTTTATGCAGGGTTCCCCATTCTGGTTCATAGGTGTGTCCGGCTCGAAGGACCAAAATGTAGGGAACTCAACATGGAAACGTCGAAATGAGAGCAGTGGATTGTATTATAAATAGAGCTATTATACCCCCCTAATTCTCTGTACGTCCAAGTTTCCTTGTCAAGGACTTAAATTAGTGAAAAATCTAACGCCAAAGAGCGTAATTTTTGTAGCGTGATTTCAAATTCCAACACATTTTACGTCGTTGTGAAGTTCACACTGAACTTTAGTGTAGACTCAAGAAACGCGTCGTAAACTATGCTCGTTTGGACGCTGCTTAAAGGTTAGCATCTCACAGCTCACTGCTTCCCGTGCAGCATGTCCCACAGCGGTAGTTCAGCGAGCGCTGCATGTAACTCTCGTTGCAGCTGCCTCGCGAGCGCCAACTGTTTAAGGGTATATTAAATATCTTACAGAACGCTTGAAACACGTGTCGTCCTGTTCGTGGATTTTAATCTTTAACCAGTCAGTGGTATAGATAGTGCCATCCACGAAGTCGCGTCCACGCTAATTATTATCCATGAGTGCACACGCACACTACAATAATTTTGCAAATAACACCGCGCATCTGTCGACCAAAAATTGGCGAAAAGCGTATTCGTGGATGGCATTATCTATAATACCACAGAATAATAATAAGTACTTCGTACAGAAGATTTTTTTCGCGAAGGTATTTAAAAAAATGTATGCTCAATGTCGTTAACAATATGGTGTAATTTAGCTTGTCTCAAGAGTCGAGCACCATTTTGTTGACAAACGTCAGTGATCGGTACTGCGCCGAAGACATAGGGCTGACTTCGGTAAAATGATGTGTGACGTGAGGTGCCAAACTGCGAAAAATGGCGGAGGAAATACATGAATAAGCATGAATTATATTTTGTGTTTCTAATATTATTCAGGCAGTTAAAAAATACTGTAGAGTATTAATTGCACCACCGTTTTTACATTATGGTTTATTGTCTTTACAATGCAAATGGGTGAAGAATACGTACGTGCGTGCGTGATTGTCCTGTCGATTTGGTATCTCAGGAGGGGTAGTCGCGCGTGTTTTGTTTTCGATGCAAACTCGCGGAGATGAACAGGCCTGATAATACTAACTAAATTATATTGAACTTTATTGCCTTGTGTTAAGTGTTGCAACTAGTGAATTATTAATGAATGGTTAGCATCTCACAGCTCACTGCTTCCCGTGCAGCATGTCCCATAACGGTAGTTCAGCGAGCGCCGCGTGTAACTCCCGTTGCAGCTGCCTGGCCAGAGCCGGCGCCGCCTGAGCCACGCCCGCGCCGCGTGCCCACGCGCCCACCAGTGGGCACACGCCGCTCAGCGGGCCCAGACCCGTGATGTGCAGGTCCATTGAGCTGGGACAGACGGGAAATCATTTGAATGAAGCTATGGCAAAAATAGCGAGCCTCCAAGTCTATGGACCTCACAATACAAGCTAAAGCCCGGTCTGTGAGCACATATAATTTTGTCCAATGACCCCTAGCTACCCATCCTTATCGCTCGCGCGTAATTATATTGCTGTCGCGACTGTGCGACTGGCACCCGCAGTGGGTGTGCGAGCGCGATAGCAACATAATTACGCGCGAGTGATAAGGATGGGTAGCTTGGGGTCATTGGATAAAATTCTACATGCTCACAGACCAGACTATATCTGCTAAGAGCGTACTTTAGTGTTCAAAATCAAAATTATCTTTATTTGTATAGACTAATTAAATTAGTACTTACAAATCGCCAAATGCTATTAAAGGAGCCTATACGTGTCCCATTCTTTTTATGCCCTATCAGCGCTTCGAGACAAACATTTAGCAAGAAGAAGCACCTTGCTGGAAGGTCTAACAACGATTGCAGTTGGATGAAATGGCAATGATTGCAACTGGCGTGGCACGCTTCGCCCAAGCAAGCGCGGCGAACGATATCGTTCGTTTCAGCCAAATGACGTCCACCGCTGGACAAAGGCCTCCTCCAAGGTTTTCCACAATGCACGGTCCTGCGCTGCCCGCATCCAGGCTCTTCCCGCGACCTTTACCAGATCGTCGGTCCACCTAGTAGGAGGCCTGCCCACGCTACGTCTTCCAACCCGTGGTCGCCACTCGAGAACTTTTCTGTCCCAACGGCCATCGTCTCTATGAGCTATGTGCCCCGCCCACTGGCACTTGATTTTAGCAATTCTGCGAGCTATGTCGGTTACTTTGGTTCTCCTACTGATCTCCTCATTTCTGATTCGATCACGCAGGGAAACTCCAAGCATAGCCCGCTCCATCGCCCTTTGGGTGTATGGCCCATAGTAAGCGACCACGTTTCAGATCCAAATACCATCACTGGCAACACACACTGATCAAAGACTTTTGTCTTGAGACACTGCGGTATTTTGGACGTATGTCACGTAGCTTCCCGAACGCTGCCCAGCTAAGTTGGATTCAACGATTGACCTCTTTCTTGAAGTTGACCCTACCTAACTGGACTGTTTGTCCCAGGTATACATAATTGTCAACAACTTCGAGTGTATAGTCTCCAACCTTCAATAGAGTGGGTGCATGCAATACGGACATTAGACATGATTTTTGTCTTGTCCATGTTCATTCTGCAATTCGGCACTATACGACACGATGGGAATAAGCGAGAAATATCAGAAACTCACTCCATATGCTGCACGCGTAGGTCATCTAATTGCGCGTAGGGCTCCCAACGCGCGAGCCCGACCGTCAGCGCCACGTGCAAGGAGCTGTGCGCGAAGGCAGCCGCGAGCCGCCCGCTACAAGACACGCCCATCGCCTTTATCCGGTAGTCGTCGTAGCCGATCTGAAATGACAATAGGAACCCATAAGATACAGACAGATAAGTAGCTCAAGACTAAAAAGTCACTTACTTAATCATAATACTAAATTGTTTAAATCTAGCATTAAAATTTTCAGATCACATAAGAGCCAAGTACACGAGGAGTTTCGGCGCTGCACCGCAAAGATTTCACTTATCTTTGACCGTAGCTTTTTGACGATAACCGATGTTTTTGTATGGAGTTTGACAGACTCTTAAAGTTTGATTAAGTAAGTAAGGGGATGCAATGCAACCCAGCCTTGGTGAGAAGGGGTGCCCTCTCAGACGCATAACATTTTTCATCATAATTTAGTTTGGCATAACAGTATTTGCATAAAGTTTTTTCGCATAAACTTTGATATGCATAGTTTTCTAAATGCATAATGGTTTCTTAGGCATAACAATAACTTTCTCTAATTTTCAATACCATAATTTAAATAATCATAAATGTAAAGAACATAATTTTTATATTCCTAAAGTTTGTTTTTAATAAAATACGATAAACATAATGTAATTATTTATAACATTTAAAGTCATAAATATTGTCTATAAGAGCAACCAACATTGAAGAGTAAATAATTATGTATTTGTGATGTTGCGAACGATCCTCCTTCCACCTTTATACTCTTTCGGCCTATAGATTTGTAAAACTAAATTCTCTGTGTCATTGTCATTTTTGTTCTTCATTTTTGACCTGTCTCTTAAAAAACTTAAGCTCGTGAAAATACATTCTGTTTGTCTCGAATTCCTCTTATCTATTATTATAACGCACATATTATACAGTCCACATTTCTTTTACAACATTAAGCTTGCCTGGTCTGGAATTATGTAGATCCCGACTGGCCGTGGTCTCTTCCACGTGGTACTAGTCTGCCCTATACTAGAGTGTAATTTAAAAGCCGGAGGCGCGGAGGGAGTGCGGTCCTCGCTCGCTCGCCAAAGGCGACCAGCAAGCCGAAGCTGCGGAAGTGAGCATGGCATGCCGGGTATATGTTACGCCAGAGCGGAAGGACCGCACTTCCCGCAGCGCCGGAGATAAGGCAATCCTAATGCTTGCTTGCATGCTTGCTTGCTTGCATCCTTGCTTGCTTGCATCCTTGCTTGCATGCATGCTTCCTTGCTGCTTGCTTGCATGCTTGCTGCTTGATTGAATGCTTGCTGCTTGCTTGCTTACTTGCTTAATTGATTGCTTGCATGCTTGCTGCTTGTTTGCAGGCTTGCTTGTTTGCATCCTTGTTTGCATGCATGCTTCCTTGCAGCTTGCTTGCATGATTGCGTGCTTGCTGTTTGATTGCATTCTTGCTGCTTGCTTGCATGCTTGTTTGCATGCTTGCTTGTCTATTTATATTTGTTAACTAATATTTTATATGTATAACGTTTTTATGTTTCATATTTGTTAACATTATGGTATTTTGTATATTATGAATGGTAATATTTATGGCATTGGTTTAGATGCCAATAAATGTTATGCTTAGAAATCGTTATTAAAAAAACAAGTATACAGAAAAAATATATACTAAAATATTATTATAATAAAAGTGGTTATGTCAAAAAAATTATGCCTTATGATTTATTCTGTATGAATGTTATGCGAAATGATGAGTATGCCAAAAAACTTTACGCACTCTTAAATTATGTCAATATTTTTTATGCAACTGAATATGGACCCCCGTCTCGCTCAATCTAAGTGCGGTGTGCCTGCGGTGCGGCGCCGGAACGCACCGTCTGGCATATCATTGATTTTTATATGCAGGACGCCGCAGCGACACCGCTCCGGCGCCGCGCCGCGACCGCACCGCGTGGCTTCTCTCTTAGTCAGCGTCTGTTCTAATTTCTACATGTCCATACCTGTAAGTCCTTTATCCTTAGCGTGAAATGAAAGCAAGTCTTGACGGGGTCGGGGCGGCTGACGCTGACGTCACTCACGCGGTTGATGGTGGCCAGGTTCTTGACCCAGCCCGTGTCGGTTTCGAACTTGCCTATAAACGATATCGACCCTATCTGGAACATAATAAGCACTAGGAGAATCAAAATATTAATCTGTCAAAAGATTAATCATTACTTAAGTATTTACTAACTTCTACGAGGTGGTATCAGATATAAGCCGGGATAGGATGGGCGCCATGATAAAATCTTATCGATGATTAAGACGACAAACGTATGGGCTTATCGGGTAAAATCGAAGAAATGACGCGAGAAAAGCTGAGAATTTTTTCCTGTATCCAGAATACCAGATCCATTATTTTTTTTATATCTAAAATAAATACATAAAGATAAAAAAAATTAATCTGGAATTCTGGATACAGGGAAAACTCATTACTATTGCAACTTCTTTTTATCCAGGATCTAAAAAAGACGCTGTACATTACACACGCACGCACTTATTGCAATAGAAATTAAAGTACGGCCAACGAGAAGCGATACCAAATGTAAACAAACCCAAAGTCATGGGTGAACCCGTCTGACTTTGACATATTTTGGCGGGAGAACGAGACATTACGACAAATACACAAGATAGGAAGAGACAGAATATATTGTCAACTCGACAGTCGTATCGACCTTTTGTATCGCTGCTAGTTGGCCGTACTTTATAGTCTATCCAATATAGCTTGATTAGAATGACGGCTGTCAAACGAATGTGACTAGTGCTGTGTATGTTTCGTACGGTTCACATAGATGTATCGATAAGTTTTCGAAAAAATGATATAAAAAAATGCACCCAATTTTTCTTCATATCTTTATTCATAAAAATGACAATTATGATTTAAATTTAAAGACAGTAAAATTTAAAATTCATGTCAAGGGTGTACAACTTAAGTCGTAGTCATTATCATCAGTGTTCTTCAGTGGTTTTTTCCTCTCGCTAGAGGGCGGTGGGCATCTCTTCTAGAGCAACGGTGCTATGAATACCCAAAAAATTACCGGTGATTGATTTCCGATGTTTGATTATTTAAGAATGAAATGTTTTTTGGTTTTTAATAGTGAACATTTAGAAAAACGTACAACTTGACTTAAATATGTTAAAAAATTAGTTAGAAATTTTTTTTGTTAAATATGTTAAAAAATAGTTTTAATTTAATATGACATTTGTCGATATGTCCCAACACTAACATTTTTGTAACTCGAGATAACCTTGTAGAGACGTCGTTAATACTCTAGCTTGATTTTTATAATTTCGAATTACTACTTATTGGTGTAATTTAACGCTACATTTACACGAAATTAACATTTTTATTGGAAGCACTGTCGTCGAAAATATTGTTTGTAGGTCAGACGTGAATTATTTCTTGTCCGCCAATATTTAGCTCTCATTGATCGCTACTACAAAGTTATGTCGTTACTTTTGATGGCAGCTGTCATTCTAATCAAGCTATATTGGATAGACTATAATAGTTTTAATTTAATATGACATTTGTCGATATGTCCCAACACTAACATTTTTGTAACTCGAGATAACCTTGTAGAGACGTCGTTAATACTCTAGCTTGATTTTTATAATTTCGAATTACTACTTATTGGTGTAATTTAACGCTACATTTACACGAAATTAACATTCTTATTGGAAGCACTGTCGTCGAAAATATTGTTTGTAGGTCAGACGTGAATTATTTCTTGTCCGCCAATATTTAGCTCTCATTGATCGCTACTACAAAGTTATGTCGTTACTTTTGATGGCAGCTGTCATTCTAATCAAGCTATATTGGATAGACTATTCGCTGGGTGCGAAGTACTAGGTGGGGGGGACATAATCTATCGCAGCGCTCATGGTGGTCAAAAGTAGAAATAATGTTAGCTCTGTCATCAGATGTATCTGTCAATGGCAAAGCGATTCTACATAATACATTTTAATATCATTAATTAATCGCATGAAAAGGGTCCTACTGGGAACTTAAATAAAAGAGTGGACTGTATTTCGATAGGGCTGTTTTAATAGCCGTTTACAATTTGGAAATAACTAAACTATACAACGTGGTAGTACAAAAATGAGTCACAGTAGTTGTTGTGCACAGATGTTTGCCTTATGATGAGAGCGTGAATTATTGAACTCTGCCCTTGTTTTGTTCTTAATTCTTCTACATCTCGGACTTGTCCAGCCAATACCAACAACTTTCCTTTAAATACGGTTTGTGGTTGGAATTTGATATTGTAACTCTCACAAACCCGGTCTTCAAAACGATACTCATTTCGATCTGAAAACGATATTTAAGGCAATAACTCGGCTATCCGATGAGACTCGAAAATTTTTGTAGGACACTTTTTGTAGCTTTCTTTGTGCTCTACAATAACGCCCGAACCATTTTTAGCGTATCATGCATCGTTATCGAGATATCGATCGATAAAGTCAAAAATTTTGGACACAATTTTTGTTTTTTTCTTTTTTTTTCAGGTCTAAATAAATATGAAAAATTCCGAAATAATTAAATAATTAATTAAAAAGTAAAATTTAATTACTTTTAATTACTTTTTTTTAAGTAACGGCAAAGCATTTGTATTAGTTGGTTCTTGTTTTGATCCCTTGTGAGAAACTTCTCCTGGCTAACTTTTGGAGTAGTTGTCTCATCGAATGTGAACTCCGGCGATTGGTTTTTTCTCGAACGTCGTACTCTTTCCGAAGTTTTCGTTCCAGCGAGTGTCATATCAGTCGGATAACCGTCGAATATGATTGCAACTTTTCCTTCGAAGTTATGTTGTACGTATCTGACGTTAATTATTTAATTATTCCGAAATAATTTGTGTCCAAAATTTTTGACTTTATCGATCGATATCTCGATAACGATGCATGATACGCTAAAAATGGTTCGGGCGTTATTGTAGAGCAGAAAGAAAGCTACAAAAAGTGTCCTACAAAAATTTTCGAGTCTCATCGGATAGCCGAGTTATTGCCAAAAAACAAATTTTACCCCCTTTTTCAACATGGCGGCGAAAGCTCCTAGGAAAGCTTGGTCGACAATCTCAAGTTAAGCTTTTCTAGGTATCCCCTACAACATATTAAAAAATTAGAAGCGCAAATTCATTTTCTTTTTTGAATGTACGTAATGACTGGACTATTTGTTATTTTTTCATTTCGATATTTTTTCACAAATATACGACCTAAATGTCAATGTGACAGAGCCCACAAAGTTGTGGACGCTAGTTGGCGCTGTAATCGTGCACGGAGCCAATAGTGCTATTTTGCAGCATTTTAAAGTTTGAAGTTCGAACCAATTCGAATAGATCGGGTTTTGGGAGAAACTGCAAACAGGATGCCATGAAGAAGGCCTTACTTTGTGCATGAAGGTGGCATGCAGAGGCGGCAGCTCGAGCACCTCGTGACAGCTCTGCAGTAGCGTGCGCCGCATGTTGATCAGCACCATGTCCACCACCTTGTTGCCGCTCTCGGCCAGGCACGCCGCCATGTCGCTACGACCATAAAATTATCTCTATACTATACTAAAGTCCGGTCGCCGAGCAGACAGAATTTCGTCCAATGACCTCAAGCTAAAGCCTGGTCGCACACTCACTGCGGGCGCCCGTCGCACAGTCGCGACAGCAATATAATTACGCGCGAGCGATAAGGATGGGCAGCTTGGGGTCATTGGACAAAATTCTACGTGCTCAGTGCTCATGGACCAGGCTTTACTCACCCTTCTCGCCCGCGTGTAATTTTATTTCTTTCGCGACGAATTACGCGCGAGCGAAAGGATGGATAGCTTGGGGTCATTGGACGAAATTATATACTATGCTCGGCGACCGGACTTTAATCTATACTAATATTATAAATGCGAAAGTAACTCTGTATGTCTGTCTTGCTTTCACACCTAATTTTGCGGGTAACGGTTAGTACCTCTAGTACGAACAACTTTCGTCTTTGAATCATTTGCGTATTCGAAATTCGATACCTCGAAGTCGAAGGTTTTTCAAGCTAGAGATGTATCTGATACCGGACCGGTCAAAGTGAACGCAGCGATTCACATGATTTTTGTCATATGTTTTTATCTCAGAAAACTAATTAGGTAGTTCATTAACAACTAGACTGTTTGCAAGTGAAGTAATGATTTTAATTATTATGACAACTAAATAAAAAGCCACAGAATTGATATGGTCGACTGAAAAAGTAGGTCACAGTGCAGCGGTCGTCGCGGTAACAGTCGTGTCCTTCAGTTAGGAAAGCCACTTTTTTATGTCATATTATTATGTTTAATGACGAAGCATGATCGCTAGTTAATGTTAAAGTTATGTTTAACTTATGCTTAACAATATCAAGAAATATATAAAATACTACCAAATATTACCAGACAATGTAAAAATTTACTTAAATACTTTTTTCTTAGGAAAACACCCAGACCAATACAAACAAATGTCTCCATGCGCACAAATGTTTGTACTGGGCAAGAGTCGAACCCGCGACCTCAGGTATAGTCAGGTACGCGAACCATTATCTTTATAATGGTAATGAATCATCATCAACAGCCCTTTACTCTCCACTGCTAGACTATGAGCCTCCTCCACTATAGTGGAGGGTTTTGCCATAATCTCCACGCTTGGCAGGCAGGTTGGAGATCGCAGTTTAAAAGATTGATGTTTTTCAGAGAGTGCTGCTGCCCGTTTTCTGTTTGATATGTAGTCCCTAAGTCGCCTCTTACGACACCCGCGGGAAGAGTAATGAATGGCAACCGTTATTACCTGTAAGCTTCCAGAAGGCTGGGGTTGCAGCAGACGACCTCAGAGACGCTGGTGGCCTGTCTCAGCACCACCGCGAGGTGCCTTTGCAGTTTGTCCCGGAGCAGCGCGTATAGCGGCAATGATATCGCCGCCGTGAGCGGTAAGTCGTCTGGAATTTATATTCTTTATTCCAATAATGTGGCAAGATAATGGATGATTTAGCGTGACCGATAACACTCAAACATTAGCGGAAGAATGGTGGGGCGCGTCTTCGTGCATGAAACGATCCACGATGATGTATTATTATCAATGCGAAGTTTTCTAGCTAGACCAATTTTGATAATTTGGGCAATAGAGTTAGGTGGGACCTCAGATCATAGAAGGGAATATGATCTGAGGGTGGGACTCTTTTGTCCTAAAAATAGATCGTAAAGGTAATAAAATAGGGCAATGAAAGTTTGTATAGTAAAATCGAATTATTATTCAGAGAGGATGGGGAAAAAAATTAGTAGATATCCAATAAAGTTGTATGTGCCATACAATACCGTTTACTATCTCTCTCACAAGTTTATTAACACCAGTGGAGTAACAACAATAAACACATCATTATCGCTCTCATAAGCAGATGCAAGTGGGGCGTTGCCATTATACATCGTGTTACTTATCTCTACCGTAGGCGCAGGAGCGAGTTAACGACATAATATGGTGTTAACATGGCCTCGAATTAGGCACGATTGTCACTTTTAGCATCGTAGAGGAAACGAAACTAAAAGAATACATTAATATTACTGTCGCGCATAACTTAGTAGGTTCTTGCCTTAATTCGAATAAAATAAGACCTCTATAATAGTGCCTTTTTCTTGTGACGTGGTTTTCGGCAATTCCGTGTGCGTGTAACTGGTCCCCGTCCGTGAAAAGTGGACCAGTTCCGCACGCTTGCCGAAACCCGCATCACAGAAAAAGGGTAATAAGCGCTCCTGCACACGACGCCGCTACCGCGCCGCCGCCGCGCCGTCGCCGCGCCTTTGCACTGTTCATACGCACCGAGTAAAACCGCCGCCGCGCCGCCACCGCGCCATCAAAGCATAATTTCGCCCGCGGCGCGGCAGCGGTGTTCACGCGGCGCGTACCTATAAACAGTGTAGCGGCGCGGCGACGGCGCGGTGGCGGCGTCGTGTGCAGGAGCCCTAAAGGTTGTAATAAAAACTTACCAATATGTTTTGCCAATTGTTCTGTCGTAGCGAAGTCATAGCCCCCGCTCTTTTGTGGCGAAGGCCACGACAGCTATTGCAAGAATTAAAAATTAATTAATCAACCATTTCAAATTTGATTCAAACCTTAATTATAAGTAGTTGGTTTATTCACATTTTCACTTATAAAAAATATTTCTTTTTACAAATAAAAATAAAATTCATTATATGAATAGACTTATGACTAGTGCAAAATCAGAATGTAAAATATTTGGAGAAAATATAAATTATGGCAGGCCTATCATTGAACTTTATCATGTCGAAATTACCTTGACCAGAACCTCGTCATGCATGAAGTCTATACCAGGGTTCACAAACGAGAAGGCGTCGTCTTCCAGCACCAGCCCAACATTCACATCTGCCGTCATGTTCGATAAGGATATTCTAGAAGAAACATTTTTTTAAGTTTCTACTGCTCTACAATAATTCTAACAATTATTCTATTACCTACCTTTTTCCTCATTGGGCTCAGACCTTTCAAAATTAAACACAATATTATAGAAATAATGCTATACAAATTACAGTATGTTTGCAATTACTTTATTAATCAAGCACCATTATAGACCAGTTCCAGTCTGGAACCATTGTGATATTTGGTGCTGTGGTGAATATTTTTTTATAAAATAAAAATTGAAAGTATACGAGGGCGGCACTGAAAATTTCGGGAATCAAGGAAGTGAAACAACATTACTATTTAAAAATGTATTTATTGCTTTTTAAAGTATTCTCCGCGAAATTTGACACATTTTTCAATACACGAAACCAATCATTGAAGNAACCGTATGACAATAAAGTGCACAATGGTATTTCGTATTGCAACCTAAGCCCTGATTGTCTCTTATTGGTCGTAGTAAAAATATAGTAAAATGCGTAACCAATTAGAGACGGGGTGAGCACGTGACCGGAGCGATGCGCTTACGCTAAAATTTCTACAAAGTGGTCAGGCGGAAGAGTCCCCGATAGTACCTACCTATATTGCAAATATAGGAAAAATAAATAAATAAAAAAAAATCATACCGCATATTTTGTGCCACTACTCGCAACGGAATCAAGTAAGTAATTTGATTTAATACGTCATAAATTGTAAACCGCTACGTTTGTACGGCGGAACCCTCGGTGTGCGAGCCCGACTCGCACTTGGCCGGTTTTTTTTATATGCTGCATAGGTAAATGTACATCCTGTATCTACATAGAGCGTAAATGATTCACGGCTAGTTAGTAGAATATTAGTTGAATATTAGTTAATTAGGTACGAAAGTTTTAATTACTAGGTACTTTACAAACGAACACTGGAACTGAGTTAATTATGCATTCGATAATCAGAGACTTTAGTCGTAGTTAATGTTTGAAGGCTGAATTTGAATAGGGAATACTAAGGTAGGTATTATAACTGTAAATACTAGGTATTTCTTTACCTTGTAATTACTAACTTTGTCATTAACGAAGACAGATTAAAGATTAAACGGCCTTATGGTATTTACTTCTGCAAACAAAATTATACTATTCACTTTTCAATCTTTAAAAACTCGACGATTTATAAAGCACTTAGGTACCTACTAATTATTTAAAACATAGTCATACTTTTTTTTACTTAGATAGAATCACTTTTGACTATGTATTATATTATTGGTTAAATCAATTGAAAATTAGCTCGCCACTTCGCAAACAGATAAACGTATCACAAAATGACTAATTTGGATATTGACTATACCCTTTAAAGATCAATCTCTTTGAAGATAAAGTTAAAGATTTTATAACCAGAAATCGTGTCATAACTACTTACTTAATAAAATTAAATAAGCTATACTAAACACTTGATGTTTTGTTTAGTCCTGTCAAAAGAACGTTGGGATTAGCTGGATAAAATAACAAAATAGTTGAAAGCCGTGTGTACCATGTGTACTAGTTTATTTTTATAATACATAGTAAATATTTAAGAAAGTTATAAATATTCTATTCAACAATAAATACAATTATAGCGTGTAAAAGAGTATGTTACTATCATAACAACTTCTAAAAGCATTTATGAATTAGTATCACAGTAATATTAAAGCAGAAGAGATTTCATTGGGTAGTTGACACGTTTTAATAATTCCAAGACACAAAAACACTTAGGCCCAGTTAAATCACTTAGTTAAAATAACCAAACCAACTGTCTAATAAACATCAACGTTTGCTCCAATTAAAGTAAGGTGGTGCAACCCAGGGTTAATTCTAACACTTGATGATGCAAGTTGGTTTTTATAAGATTTTAAATATTTTTATAACATTTTTTAATTTATTTGAGTTGGTTTTTAGTTCAAATAAATAAATTGTTAGTTAATCGAGTTCACGAACTAATGTGAGGTTTTTTTAACGGTGTCAACTACCCTGTTGTAGTTGCTCTAATTCTAGAACTAAAAGCATCTACAGCAATCGGCAATTTGGAGAATGTGCGAGATCTTTATACTATATCCTAATACTATTATTTTGTGCTTATTTTCCTATTATTTCAGATCTATTTCTACCAATGCTTTATTCTTTGTCCATAACCAGAGCTAGTTCTTTGAGCTTCCGTCGATGTACTTTGGTAGAAGCCGTCATCGGAATGGCGTCCATGAATATGACTCCGCCACGAAGTTGTTTGGAATCCGAAAGAGTACCTGAAATTATAATTAAAAATGCACATCTAGGTGATTACAAAGTTACGAGTACAAAAGTTGGTCCCGGCTAATATTTAGCACTCAGTTTGCTGTATGCTACATGGTTCTAAAGCCTAAAGTCAGAGGCTATAAGGCATATGTTTAATTCTCTCGTTCATTTCAGCCCAACGACGTCACTTGCTGGAAAAATGCTTCTCCTGCCTCGTGCCAAATTCTACATACGCCTGTTCTATTCTGTACAGCAGCATCAAAGTCACCCTCACCGTACCACATTAGCAAATGGTTGAAAGAACCCCACAATCCTGCTTCTGTGATTTTGTCACTACTATCTCTAACAAACTAGATTAGAATCTAGACCTTGACTTTCATGGTTATCATTTCAATCACAACACGTCCACAGCTGAACATAGGCCTCCCCCAATGACTTCCACATCGCCCGGTTGGTAGCGGCCTGCATCCAGCGACTTTCTGCTACTATTATGAGGTCGTCGGTCCACCTTATGGGTGGATAGGACATCCCACGCTGCGTTTACCGGTACGTGGCCTCCACTCCAGCACCATGCTGCCCGATCGGCCGTCAGTTATGAGTTCTATGTGCCCTGCCCTTAGACCTTATCAAACTGTTCTTCAAGGTTACCTTTAACCAGGTCCTTGATATCCTGCGCAGTGACGTCGGATTCGGGTCGCCGCACCACGCAAGCGACCGGCAGATCCCCACTCTCTGGGTCAGGTATACCTGTTACTGCCACGTCTAGCACACCAGGGTGATGACGGATGACGTTCTCTACTTCTACGGGTGATATCTAAAAATAAATTGTCATTTCAGTGTGTATTTTAACAGACGTTTTGTTACAAAATTCCACCTATTGCTTCTTCATAAGTTTGCTGCTGTTCATCTTAACGTTGTAAGTTCTTTTCATCACATTATTAACATAAGCTGATATTCGTTCGTTTCAGCCAAATGACGTCCACTGCTGGACAATGGCCTCCACCTAGGATTTCTTGTCAACTAAAACCGGTCCTTCATCAGATGGGCGACAATAGGCCAGGTGCTATTTGTGCAGGTGCTATGTGAACGGGTGCTCAAAGTGGAATACGTCAACCTGCCCACACTACTAGGCTGCTTATTTACCCTCAATACAAAAATAACATTACCCACTTGTACAATTTTTCCTTCATTAGATAAAACTCTATAAAGTCCTAAGTAAAAACTAGTCATATCGCCTATCAACTTAACATTATCAATCACTGTTATAATTATCTGGTGCGTGTGTCATACAAATGACTCGCAGAATGTGTTTTGCCGTACAATTGAAGTCATAATGATAAACAAACAGAATATTCCAGAAAACGGAATTTTAATTCCCTCGCATTTTCACGCCCCAATGACCCAGGTTTATAGTCTAGTTGTAATAAGAGCGAGTTTTCACATCATGTCACAAAATAATAATAAGTATTTCTAACGTACTAATAAAAATTATTTGTAGTTCCATCAGAGTAGAATAGGACCACACACTCTTCCCGTGGATGTCACAAAAGGCCAAATAGGCACAATATTCGAGAACATCGCCTCAACTTTTTACCAGTGTGATAAGTATAGGTCGAATCCTCCAAATGCCTCTGGTAAATTAAACTGATGGGGACTAAATGACAGGGTCAGGGAAAGATACATAATTAATTGTGTTTCTTACTTGATAGCTTTTATACTTCAGAAGCAGTTTGATTCGTTCCACAAAATAGTAGTTCCAACTGGCATCTCTGTAGAAAGTGTCGCCAGTTTTGAACCAGCGATCTTCGGCGAAGGTCTCCTCGGTAGCTTTAGAGTTATTATAATATCCCTGAAAGAAAAAGGGTTTTCATTAAGCTTTTTTTACTTCATTTGTATGAATTTATGTGTAAGTAATAGAGATGTTTGCTCAAACCTTGAAAATTCCTGGCCCTTTGATTAACAGCTCTCCTGGCACGTTTGGCTCGACGATATCTTCCAGAGTCTCCGTATCGACCAGCTAAATACAAATTAAATCGTTAATTTATAAATCACTAGCTAAAGTTTAGTCTCTGTTATCATAAGTAGGATAATACACTAAAAACTGCTAAAGATTTTTGTACAAGGGGTAGTTAGTAAAATAAGTCCGGTTGTGTGGCCCAGGGTTAATTGAACCCTGGGCTACACAACCGGACCTGAAACTGGACCACATTGTAGAGTTGTTGCGTATACATCGGTGCTTTTGTTGCATAGTCGCAAGACTTCGCTCCGCTGTCAAATCAATGTCGCCTGCCTGAATGATATCGCAATGTGCACAGCGCGCAGCGGTCAGAGTGAAAAAAGAATCTGCAAATTCTCATTACACATTATTATGTCTTTGCTAGTGGTAGCTATAACGAAAAAAAATACTAGTAGCAATAACTTACTCTATATTGAAAGCATCCCATAAGAGAGCCGCATGACCCAGGCGGTGCGGACCCGGCCCCATGGAAACCGATGGTGCACAGCTCGCTCATGCCATAACAATTCACTACCTCCGTGTCGGGTGACATTTCCTGCAAATTAAAATTTATTAAATCAAAGTAGGTAGGTACTTTTTCATCAAAGTCAATTAAAATGCCTAACGATTAAAAAATAACCAATATGGAAAATGCGCTCATTGTTAAAAACTACAAGAAAATTGACATTTTCTTATGGAATGGGACAATAATAAAAAATACAGCAGCTGCAAAATAACACTTTATGTTCAAACTAATCCTTGAAGTATTTACTGCAGTTTTTTTAAGTTCCAGGCGTAAGTATTAGAGCGTTATACCTTAACTTCATTAATCAATTCCTGGGGCACAGCGCTGCCCCCCAACATGATCAGCTCTAAACAGGTGAAGTCACACGCATCGCGGTTACCCGGCTTTATGAGAGTCGTCATGAGCGTTGGACTGAAGATGGCAAATGTTGGCTGGAACAAGCCCATATTGGTCAATAAAAAACAAAAGAACTTTTTTTTTTTTTTTTTTTTTTTATATGGCTCGCGCGGTTTGCGCATTTGCCAATGTCAAGGTAGGGAAACGGATGTCAATAAAAAAGCGGAATTTCGGAATTTAGGGCTAGGATCAGTATAGGTAGGAACTGGTAGGAAGTGTAAATAGGAAATTAGGAAAACTAAACCTTTAAATTATTATTAGATAAATAAATAGAGATACATTTATATATAGAGAGGTCGTTCGTATATAAAAGAGAATTAATGCAAGTAGGAAAAGGGACACGGAGGGTCAGTAAGGAAGATATAAAAGAGGAGCGGTCATATTTAGGGCATGAAAATAGACAATGGTTTAGGTCACCCACTTCATTTGCGTCTCCACAGTCGCATTTGTCGCTGTTTACAATCTTTAATCTAGCCAAATGAAAGGGGAGGCAAACATGACCCAGTCGCATACGAATGAGGCTACTAGTCCCTGCCTTATCCAGCTTCAGTTTGAAAAACCACGGTTTGAGAGGAACATGTGGTTGAATATTCCTGTAGTGTTTCGCTTTAGTTTGACTGTTGTCAGTCCATTGACTTTCCCAAGATTCCCTAAGGGAGAGTTTGGGAAGTGAAAGTAAGTCATGACTGTAATTTTTATATGGAAACAGGTCACCACAGGAAATTGCATCATTAGCTAAGCGATCGGCCCTTTCATTTCCGGGAATATTACTGTGACCAGGAATCCAACCAAATACAACTTTCAAATCTTTTAAGAAGCAATTGTATAGTAGCCGCCTGCAATCCATGATTACAGGGTAGAAAGTATTTGACTTAAAAGGGAATTTAACAAGAGCTTGAAGAGCACTTTTTGAATCAGTGAAAATAATAGTTTGTTGCAATTTCATAATTAATATGTATTCAAGAGATTTGAAAAGGCCGAAACATTCAGCTGTAAATACAGATGTTTCTGGGGGAAATTTGATTTTTTGAACTATTTTTAATTGCTCATGATAGACTCCAACGCCTACTTGGCTATTGGTAGAATGCTTTGATGCATCACAATACATGTGTTGCCAGTTAGACCAATCCCTGTCAATCATAAAATTAAAGTTTGTGAGGGCATTTCGATCATCTTTGTAAACACCCAAATCAAAATAAATCTCTGGGGAGAACATTAACTCTTCATATTTACTACAAAAAATTGGCAGATAAGAGGAACTATGGGTAGGAGCTTGCAGAGATATGTATTTACGATAACTGATTACTAGACACGGAGGAGATTTGTGATACCAGTATGAGGAAGATTCTACATATTCTAAAAGAGCTGTAAGTTTTGAATGGAGAGGGTGATTCGAAAACTGTAATGCTCGGAATAAAAATCTATCACTTAAGTATTGACGACGTAGCTTAAGAGGTGGATCGACACACTCGACTTGAAGAGCAATAATAGGGCTCGACTTCATGGCACCAGTTACTAATCGAAGAGCTTTATTTTGGATCAAATCCAATTTACGAAGCCCCACTATACTGCAGGGTTCAAGAAAGAAAGTTCCGTAATCGAGGATACTCCTGATAAGGGCATTATATAAAAGCTTTAAACAGAACGGATGAGCGCCCCACCAGACACCAGTTAGACATCTGAGAATATTTAATAGTCGCTCACATTTAGAACTGATGTAATAGAAATGCGGAAGACCTGTCATTTTGGAATCTAAAATGATTCCTAGAAATTTGGCTTCATTTTTAACCGGGATTGGTTGATTATCAAAATAAACACTAATTGGGGGTGGGAAACGGATTCTAGAAAACAAAACTATTGAGCTTTTAGGAGGGGAAAGGCTAAGGCCATTTTTGTCTAACCATGATTTTAATAGGGAGAGAGAATATGTAAGAGACTCACACATTAACTGTATATTATTACCACTAACATAGAGGAGCAGATCATCAGCATATTGTAAAATATGTGCACTGTTATTCATAGAAGGTTCTAAATCATAGCTATAGATGTTAAATAATAAAGGACTCAAGACGGAACCTTGAGGAAGGCCCTTACTTAATAACCTGGATGAGATTTTGTTATCATGAATAACATTTATAGTTCGCATAGATAAGATATTTAGGATGAAATTTACGAGCAAACCGGGAACTTGTAGTTGTAAAAGTTTACTTCTAAGAACAGTTAACAACACATTATCATATGCTGCTGTTATATCAAGAAAAGCCGAAAGAACTGAAGCGCCACATGAAAACGCCAATCTAATATCAGTGCAAAAAATGCCAATACTATCTGCACAACTCTTCCCTTTTCTGAAACCGTATTGACTCTTGCTGAGCAAGCCTTTACTCTCCATAAACCATTCCAACCGGTTTTTAATTAAGTGCTCAGCTACTTTCATAAGAATGGATGAGAGTGCAATTGGTCTGTAAGAGTTGGAGTCTTCTCGTGGCTTATGGGGTTTCAAAATTGGAATTACTTCCTGAGATTTCCATGAAGGTGGAACGCAACCAGAATTGAAAATAGAATTTACAAGAGTTAGATAATATAACAAGCTAGAATTACTAAGGTTACACAGAAATGAGTAGGGGATCCCATCGCCACCCGGCGCAGAGTCTTTAACATAAGTTAAAATTCCTTTAAGCTCAGAAAGTGAAAAAGGGTCGCTAAGAACTGTATGTTCAATGTTTGTAAATAAAAAAGCATCATTGGGTATAGAAAGATTCTCAGCAACAGAAGGTGGAGCAAGTTTATCTAAAAATTCTTCAATTAAAGTATCATTAAGAGACGGCGGCTGGGATTCTTTAAAAGCAGATCTAAATTTTCTTATGTTAGTCCAAACAAAAGAAGGGGAAACATCTGGCGAGATGGATAAGCAAAAGTTTCTCCAGCCTTCCCACTTTTTGCGTTTTAATAATTTTTTGGTATTTGACATTATTTCAACTAATAAGTTAAAATTAGCTTCTGTTGAAATAGCACAGTAATTCTTTTCCGCTTCCTTTCTTTTCCTAACAGCATCTGAGCACTCGCTATCCCACCAAGGTGGTGAGGGGATTTTATTAGTATGACGACCGTTTTTAATAGGAAATACCTGATTAGCAGATTCGATTAATAAAGAGGCTAAAGCTTCAGCACATGCTGATTGATTGTTTTCACTAACAACCGGTAGAGATGAAAGACCTTGTTCCACCTTGTCCTTAAATAGGCTCCAATCAGCTCGGTCCAGTCTGTATTTCATTCGAGGTTCGCGATTATTCACATTCCTATTAATATCTGGGAATTCAATGACAACTGGGAAATGGTCGCTGCCATACGATGAAGGTAATGTTGACCATGATAATGACGAGGCTAAATTAGTAGAACAAAGAGATAAGTCAGGAGCGCTCACTCCTTCATGAGGCGCAGTCCTGCGGGTTGCAACGCCAGAGTTTAAGATACATAAATGATTGTTATCTAAAATTTCTAAAATCCTATTACCGTAATAATTAGAACTACTACTTCCCCAAGTTTCATGTTGAGCGTTAAAATCACCCATAATAATAATAGGATAAGGAAGGTTGCCAATAATGTTATCTATTTCATCATAAATGTGGGAAGTAGGATGAGGAATATAAATTGAGACAAAAGTTATATGATTTACTGAAACTGCAATAATAGAAAAATCACTACTGTGCTGAGGAATTGGGACATGGGAAAACGGAGTAGAGTGACTAATAAGAATAGCCACGCCTCCATACCCATCACTACGATCTTCTCTAACACAGGAAAACTTAGGCACTTTAAAAATGGAAACAGGCTTAAGCCATGTTTCCTGTAGAGCAATAATAAATGGATTTTCTTTATTTATTAAATATAAAAGGTCACTTTTTTTAGTTAAAATGCTGCGGCAATTCCATTGAATTGCTGAAGCTTTGTTCGTTATGTGAAATTTTGTCTAATAATCTATCTTTGATTGAGGCAGCGTTGGACGGTAGGGATGACAAATTAGTTTGCAGAGAATTAATCAGGGCTACAATTAATTCTTTTAATGATAAATTACTTAAAGAGTTTGAGTATTTCTCATCGCTGTTAATTAAAATACTTTTACTTGGAGAGATTTCAGAGTTATATCCTTGAATGATTTCATCATGAGCAGATTTATCATAACCTTTAGAGAACCTAGGAGGAGATCTAGGCTTTAAGAAAACAGTTTTTTTGTATGAGGTCTTATTAGAGTAATTTGATGACACATGATTGTATGAATTCTGAGGTGTAGGAGATACTAAAACATCTGCATAAGATTTAGAACAAGGAGGGTGTAATTTAAGTGCCTCAGCATATGTAATGCAGTCTTTTGCCATAGATTCCTTTATGTTCTTTTGCCTATTATATTCAGGACATACTTTGCTAGTAGCCATATGAAGACCTGAACATAAACAACACCTTATTTCATCTTCCTCCACTGAACAGGTATGTCCTGAGTGGCCTAGACCACACTTAAAGCATCTAGGAGTTGAACGGCATTGACTTTTCACGTGGCCATACCGACAGCAGCTAAAACATTGAATGGTGGGATAGATATACAGGTCAACGGGCAGTGAGTTAAAACATAAAAACACTCTCTTAGGGAGGACCTGACCGTCAAAAGTTAACACCACTGTTTCTATAGGTACAAACTGAGCCTCACCATTAACTATATTTTTCCTTTTAAGACGCCTAGCTTTCAGAATTTTCCCACAACCTATTGGTACTGAAATATTGCTCACAATCTCTTCTTCAGTCCAGTCTGTCGGCACACCTCTCACCACACCCATACGTGTCACATTAAAAGAAGGTATGAACGCTTTATATTTATTGAACTTCAAACTCCCGTTGTCTAGAAATGAGTTAGCATCTTCAAATTTGGAGAAAGATATTGATAATCGGTTCCTTCCAATTCTTTTTAAACTACCATCAATGATGTTTCTAATCCCATTCTTTTTTAAGAAAAAGCCAAATGATATAGGATGAATGGTGCAGTTTTCATTAGGGTCAGATGGAACTCTTTGTATGTGAACAACATATGGTGCCAAATCTGAAGCTACATAAGAAGGTCTAGCAACTGGGGCACTTGGGGAGTTGGTTAAGTTTTCATTGGCCGACAAATTCGCAGTGGATGAAAATAAAGAAAATGGTGTACTAAATACTGTGCAGTATTTAACTGCCTAAATAATAATAAAAACACAGAATGTACTTTTTTAAGTTGCCTCAAGACACTGAGAGGTAAATAAGTAGTTAATATTATTCATGATAATTCATGCTAAATCATGTATTTCCTCCGCCATTTTCTGCAGATTGGCACCTCACGTCACATCATTTTACCGAAGTCAGCCCTATAGCTTCGGCGCAGTACCGATCACTGACGTTTGTCAACAAAACTTCTGACAAACTTGCTTGACTCTTGAGACGAGCTTCTGTACGTAGTACTTATTATTATTCTGTGGTACTATGAATAGCTGGGAATATCCTTCTATATGTGGGCAGGCCTACTAGGTGGACCGACGATCTGGTAAAGGTCGCGGGAAGAGCCTGGATGTGGGCAGCGCAGGACCGTTCATTGTGGAAAACCTTGGGGGAGGCCTTTGTCCAGCAGTGGACGTCATTTGGCTGAAACGACGATCCTTCTATAGTCTGGTCTGTGAGCACGTAGAATTTTGTCCAATGACCCCAAGCTGCCCATCCTTATCGCTCGCGCGTAATTATGTTGCTGTCGCGCTCGCACACACTGCAGGCGCCCGTCGCACAATCGCGACAGCAATATATGTAATTACGCGCGAGCGAGATAAGGATGGGTAGCTTGGGGTCATTGGACAAAATTCTACGTGCTCACAGACCGGGCTTTAGCTATATTCTTTTAGTCTCAAGTAGGGATGTTATGGATATGTAGTTTCGGTTATGGATACGGATATTTTTTTATTTCGGATATCCAAAAGTTTCGGTTACGGTTACGGATATCAGTGCTTTAGAATGCAATTTGCAACAGTTGACCAACACGGTTCATTCATGGCCGCATACTTTACATCGAATAAAAAGTAATAAAAAGAATAAAAATTGATACTAGATGGCATTATAAAGGTAAAACAGACTGTTATGCCTTTACATATAATGATAAAAAAAAACAATTAAAACTGCCTACATCCGAAACTTGGATCGGTTACGTTTTCGGATATTTTTTTATTTCGGATATCCGAAAGTTTCGGTTACGGATATCCATAACATCCATGTGAGACCATGGATGTTATGACACTATACATAGTATGACTATGTATAGCGGTTTTCAACGTCAACGGTTTGTAAGAAACAAAGAGAGAGCGTTCTACAACTGCGGTCGAATACAGTACGTTCTCAACGGTACAAAACAAAACCATATTGCTCTAGTAGAGAAGCCGCTTACTACAATACAATATAGTATGATAAAAACTAATAATAAGCTTTATTTCTAACATCTTACACAATAAACATTCGTTGCAAAAGGGGTCAATCTTAAAAATTAATATCACAGCTGATCGGTTTTTTTATAATATGTAGTAGCTTTAGCTTACGAGAGATAGGTCTTGATAAGTTATATCCCATTTTGTTCGTGGTGTTTATGTCGCATACATAATCATTATTAATCATCACCTGACTTTCTATCCTACATCTACCATGACTTGCTCTCTATTTGAGTAGTTAACTCTGCTTTTCATTGACAGCTCCAAGTGTCACATTTTCGATAGAAATCGTTCAAGGATAACGTGGTCATTGAACATAGTCTTCTTGTCTAACTTCATCCCTTTATGCCGGTTGCAGACCAAGAGCTAAGCTAAGTTAGTTTCGTTTAGCTCGCATAGCTGACGCAGTTTCCCATAGAATTGGCATAGTTTTCAGTCTATACACGACTATGGGAAACTGCGTCAGCTATGCGAGCTAAACGAAACTAACTTAGCTTAGCTCTTGGTCTGCAACCCGCATTATATTTTATATTTTCCCATAGCCCCATTCACACATAGCCCCATTCACACAAGGACTCATGATTAGTAATGATCATGATTAGTGATGTAATATTTATGCATTCAGGTATTCAACGGCTGCCCACTCAGGATAAACTGCACGGCCTCCTGGATACACCCCGACACGAGGGATCAACACATACTCATTGGTGAGTGCTTACAAACAACAAAATAAACTTTAAGGGCTGATTTTTTAAACGTCGAATATCTAATATCCCAAAAATAAAATTGACACTGTCATATATTTTCCCATACAGAAGCTGTTAACAGGCCCAATTGTATTCTTCAGCAAAAGTTATTCGATGGTTGCCCATAACCTTTTTGTACTTAAAACTTTGTCAAAAAAACTCTGTGCTAATGCTGCACTTTGGCGGTATAGTTTTGAAAATAATATGTGCTATACTCGTATTTGGTAGATCGATCCAAAGGTTTTTTGTAATTGTATGGTCAGCTATCTTTTCTCTGTACGCCCATAATTATACAGTTTGATATGCCTTGAAACCACCGGTACTTTCCCCCGGGACAAAGGCCTTCACTGGTTGGGTTTTTATTGACGGTCAAGTTGTAGACCCTGGCTACACAGGAGTTGCAGCGGTGGAAACGAGAAGTGGGAATAGTCCCGTTCCCCCGCGAAATCCTTTGCCTTCACTGCTCAGGTTTTTATTACCAAACAAGCTGATCTTGGCTACATAGTCCTGTTTCCCCATGGAGAACCTTGGCCTTTACTGACTTCTTCTCCTAGAGTTTTTAATGACGGTCAAGCTGTAGATCCTGGCTACACAGGAGTTGCAGCGGTGGGAACGAGTAAAACTCATAAAATAAAACTCATTTATTTTTGCGAATAGGCTTTTAAAAAGCACTTTTACACGTCCCAGTATTAACCCTACCACTGCTTCGGGACAATAAGCTGCCAGTGCTGAGAAGAAGCAGTGCAAGAAACTCAGTCACTATTTGTTGCACACAGTGATGGGAAAAGCCCCGTAGTCTGATTGGCTCTCTGTATCCATGATTTTGGTACTTTCTGTGTACGTTTTATCTATCTATCTATTATCTACCCCCAGGTGCTGAAGAAGGCATCTATACTCTAAACCTCAACGAACTCCACGAGACGGCGATGGACCAGCTGTGCCCACGGCGCACCATCTGGCTGCACGTCATCAAGGATGTGCTCATGTCCTTGTCCGGTAAGTTGCGTGACGTCACACATCTCATAAACAAATGAGACTGGACTTGTGTAGACGGTAAAACAGAGACTTGGACTTGCTTAGATGACGAAATTGAGACTAGACAAATAATAAGACTACTCGTGTATGTGACACATTTACATAGACTCGTGTAGGTAGCACAGACTAGGTCTGGCTGCATGTCATCAAGGATGTGCTCATGTCCTTGACAGATACAGTCAGCGTTATAGTTTTCTCTAGCGTTCTAGTCTTTCTTTTATTGTAATAAGGTTGTGTTATTAACTTTTTGGCCACTTTCGGTGTCACGAACTATTTGACGCTGACTGTACGTCTCGTGACGTCACTCATGTGACGTATTTACACGTCTAAGAGCTGCACCCATGACATAACTGGGGCTAGACTTTTGTAGATGAAACAATTGATGCTAGACTCGTGTAGATGACTGTGATGTACTACTACACAAATAAAGAGTGTGCGCTATGTCAATACTGGCTAGTACGGGGTCAGTCTTAGTCGGGCCGCCACACGGAACGGACGTCAGTGCTTGCACTAGCTTACACAGTGAACATATACCAGTGTTTTATTTGAGACATCACAATGACACAACTGACAGAGACTTGACTCGTTTAAGTGACACGGGACGGACGTCAGTGCTTGCANTTCAAATTTGGAGAAAGATATTGATAATCGGTTCCTTCCAATTCTTTTTAAACTACCATCAATGATGTTTCTAATCCCATTCTTTTTTAAGAAAAAGCCAAATGATATAGGATGAATGGTGCAGTTTTCATTAGGGTCAGATGGAACTCTTTGTATGTGAACAACATATGGTGCCAAATCTGAAGCTACATAAGAAGGTCTAGCAACTGGGGCACTTGGGGAGTTGGTTAAGTTTTCATTGGCCGACAAATTCGCAGTGGATGGAGATGGATCTAATGAAGAAACTATGGGCGCATCCTGTAATTCATTAGTACTGCTACTGAGAATACACTGACATTCAAAAACGTTTGTTGAATCGAACACATTAGATTTATTATGACGGCTCCTCCTTTTTTTGTTACAATGTTTGCAAACTTTTCTAGATAAAGTTCGTTTGCGTTTTGCATGCGAAACATTTGACTCACAGTTATTATTATCAGTTACCGATCCTTCAGTGTCCAGACATGAACTATTACGTGAAATAGTAACGTAATTAGATACCGGGGGGGCTGTCCCACCCGGGTCATGAGGATCGTCGTCCATTGGACGAAATGGAAAGTTAAAAAGTTAAAACTTATCCAATATGTGATGAGATATGATACACTAATATGATATATAAATAAAAATTAAGTTAACAAACTACACTGCACTACTTATCTGATCCTATGAATAGAAAATTAATGAAAAAATAATTTCTCCAAAAAAAAGACGTCCACCGAAACCGACGTTTCCCGCGCTTTTCAAAAAAGAACTTGAGTGTTTTGTATTAATTTGCTTGAGGACTTTTTGGCGGGAAAGTGAAGTGTCATGTTTTGTTTTAATTTCCAAGTGACTCGGCTGTATGGTATAATGCCTTTGCCTTTTCCTTAAAAGGAAAGAATCTAACAAAAAAATTTTTGGCGTGGCAAATGCACAAGCCGTGCGAGCCAAAAAAAAAAAATCTAACAAACAAAAATTGCTTGATGTCAAATTATGTAACTATTTTAGTTAAAATGAGTATAATAATTATCTTTCTTGAGAAAAGAGAAAACATGTTTTCCATTTCAGTAACTTCAACTATAGTTATTTCAATATCTCAGAGAATATAATTTTAGAGACAGTATTTAATTAGGTATTTAACATTTATTTTAACTAAAATCGACACTCGGTCACACATGGTAGATTTTGACATATCTATCAATGTCATATTATGTCAAAAATAACCAATCATGCAGCATTTGGACCTCGCGTCTACGTATTGCCATCTGGCGGATTTTTCAATCGCAAAAACCCTCATTAATAACGCGGAAAATGTTTTCGCGCAAATGTCGTTCGCGCTAGTATCTTTCGCGCAAATGTCTTTTGCGCTAGTGTCTTTCGCGCTCATGTCTTTTCGCGCTAATGTCTTTTCGCGCTAACGTCCTTTCGCGCAAGTGTCCCGATACGGGCAGACATATACCTACCATTAAATTACTAACCTTGTAAGTATTTATCAGGTCGTACGTATGCTCTTGAGTTGATGCAGTAGAAGTCTGCAGCCTGGTGTACCTCATTATAGGAGAGAGGATGAAGTTCATCAATGCCGTCAACCATTGCAGCGGCGCCACCACTAAGGCCATGCGAGTTGGCGATGGGAAATTGGTACAACGGGACCTGAACAACAAAGGTGAAAAGGTGATCATGAGTGAGAAGGTAGTATCTGACGTAGAATCTATAACCTTTGGAGTAAACGAGTTCTTGAATGAAGACCACGACTCAACAAACGTAATGTAGTACCTTCAGCTATTGGTCTACTCTAGCGTGTAACTCAGTCAGTGGCTGAGGTATGGGAGCAGCACTGGAGCATATTATGACGTGACAGAGCATCTAAATCATGGAGATCTGCAGTCTCACTGACGTTTGACGTTACAAAAACACGGGAGGGCCGTGCCATACCTCAGGCATTGACTGAGTTCAGAGGACGAGACATGAAGATGTCGCCATAGAGACATGGAAGCGCCGTCTGGCCCAGAGCAAAGCAGGCCGTCGTACCATAAACGCCATACATCCGGTGTTGGAGGAGTGGGTACGGCGGCAACACGGTCGTCTCTTTTATAGAGCGACCCAAATACTAACTGACCACGGCTGTTTCGGCGACTATCTATTTCGGATAGGACGGGAGCAAAGTGCCAATTGCTGGCATTGTCGAGAGGGCATCGAGGATTCCGCGCAGCACACACTCGAAGTGTGCCAAGCTTGGGTGGCAGAGCGCGAAATCCTCGTGGAACAGGTAGGACAAGATCTCTCCTTACAGGCCATCCTGCCTCGTATGCTAGAGAGCCCAGATGCATGGCATGCGGTGCTCCACTTCTGTGAGGAGGTCATGTCGCAGAAAGAAGCGGCGGAGAGGGAGCGAGAGGCCTCGCCTGACGCTCCACCGAACCGTCGCCGACGTCCAGGACACCGCAGGAGACACTACCATCTCCATGCCCCCTCTTAAGGGTCCTCGGCCACTAGACACGGTGGTGTTTGGTGGCCGCTAAAGGAGGACCCGTGGCGGCGGCGCGCGCATGTGTTCACGCGCACCGTTAGCGAAGACCAGGGGAGGTACTACTCCCCTGAAGCCAGTCGTCGCTTGCTCAAACAGAGCGAGCCACAGTCTGGGGCGGAGCCGCGAAAGAATGTCTAGGCCGCCTAGCTCGGACAATAACTCCCAAAGACTTCGGGAGGACATCGTCAGGTTTTAGTGAGTAGGCCCTGCCCATCTGGCAGGGAGAGCCTTACATAACCCACTGGTTCCCCCGGGCCAGTGGGTATGCAATTTCATGAATTTCCTGACGAAAAAAAAAAGGCATTGACTGAGTTAAATGCTAGACTTACAGGTGAAGTAACGACTTGTGAAAGCTGGAAACGACGAAAAGCTGAAGATAGGAGAAAATGGCGATTCTTAGGGAAAATTAGTTAATATCCAGGATATACTGCTAAAGGCTGACGATTAATAAAGGTAAGTTAATAAAAGTGAGGTACATATGAGAGTTGGAAATTACGTGCTTACGTGCCTCAGAAACGTATAGTCGTATACCAAAATCCAAACGAAAAACAACAATAAATACTCGAAACCATAAAATAAACATATCTAATAGTATTCTCAAGATTACTTGAGAATACTAGGTATTATATTATTAAATACAATTACTTAAATCTGTTTAATATTTTAAACTATTATGTTGCATTTTTTACTATAAAATTATCACTTCACGGGATTTATTGCAACAATATCTATTTTAACGGTAAATAATATTTACCCTCCCGACGTTTCGGCTCGGTTGCACGAGTCATGGTCGCGGGCAGACTGAAGAGATGCGGCGTCGTCTGCTCCGGCGCGATGAATTTTCTTCATCCACCCGCATTTGCACAATATTTTCGTCAGTGGTACAGTCAGTCCGACAAACTACACTAACAGTGTCCGGGTTTCTCTGAGACGGCCTAGAACGCGATTTGTACTTCGTTATCACCGGATTTTGACAATGAGCTGCCCGATGAATATATTGTCCTTTTGCAAAACTGTTTGGACGGAAACTATCTCTTGTATCGAGGCCAATATTACCTCCAGATTGATGGCGTTGCTATGGGAAGTCCTGTAGCACCAGTGATTGCCAACATTTGGATGGAACATTTCGAACAAAAAGCATTAGCGAGCGGCCCCGGTATTGTTAAGTTCTGGAAGAGATATGTTGATGATATATTTTGCATCATAAACGGAAACCAAACAGAAGTGGAACAATATCTACAGCACTTAAATTCTGTTCATCCAAAGGTTAAGTTCACGTATGAAATGGAGAGGAACAGATCCATGGCTTTCCTTGATGTTCTTGTGACAGTGAGACCGGATGGGGCTTTGGCCCACTCTGTTTACCGGAAACCGACTCACACGGACAGATATCTGCACGCCTCTTCTCATCACCATCCCCGTCATCTTCAAGCAGTTATTTCCTCATTGGTTAATAGGGCATATAACCTATGCGACCCTGAACATGTGGAAGGGGAACTAAAACATGTGAAGGAGGTACTAAGAAGGAATGNAGGCATTACCATGTTAGGTTGATACGTGAAGCCATTGAAATTAAAAAGCATAAGAATTTCAATCGAGAAGATGGATTTAACCTATCATCAGCGTGGAATCCGGTGATAACGAAGTACAAATCGCGTTCTAGGCCGTCTCAGAGAAACCCGGACACTGTTAGTGTAGTTTGTCGGACTGACTGTACCACTGACGAAAATATTGTGCAAATGCGGGTGGATGAAGAAAATTCATCGCGCCGGAGCAGACGACGCCGCATCTCTTCAGTCTGCCCGCGACCATGACTCGTGCAACCGAGCCGAAACGTCGGGAGGGTAAATATTATTTACCGTTAAAATAGATATTGTTGCAATAAATCCCGTGAAGTGATAATTTTAAATCTGTTTATTCTAATTATCTTATCGCAAATGATAGAACATCTTGAGTTCCAAATTTGATAATATCACTTAAGAATCATGGTAATCCTGAAAACACATTTGGTTGTATATAAAATTGCATTACATTATCTTCAATCATCATTAAATATTGTAGGTAATTTGGGTACTAAACAATGTTTTAAACTACTACCTGCTAATTATGTAATTTAAACAATATTTCCAAATATTATACAGTAACAGCATACCAAAGATTTATTTAACCTACCTATTCAATGCGGTTTTTGTACATTTTCAAGTGCGGGTCTGTGCTGTAATTTATTCAATTTAGAAGATAAAACCACAAAATAAATATCATACTTTCTGTGAATTTCACGTCACGCCAATAAAAAAAAAATGGATTTAGTAATTTCCATTCGTCTGACGAGCTGACACAGGGTGCTGATACAGGTAATACTCATAAAGGTTCGACCAAGCATGCGCCTGCTACTAGCCTACTGCATGCGTTGGTTTGGCCGAACCTTAACTTACCGGATTACTAATGTTTGGCCAAAAAACGTTTCCCAAATTATCACATCGCAAACAACGTTTCGCAAATTTTCATTTGGCAAATTCTCATTTGGCAAAACAACTTATTGCAAACTTTTAATTCGCAAATGTCGTTTTTGGCATATTATTGTTTAGCAAATTATTGTTTGGCAAAGTATGTTTTGCCAAATGTTTCATTTGGCAAAAATATTTCACCATAAACTATTTACAAAACAATTTGATTGGTGCATAGAATGGAATACAAATTATATTATTTTGTTTAGTGGGTAGCTAATATAAATTTTTTTCTAAACAAATTTTCATATTTCATTCTTTTTATCGAAACCAAATGATTCATTAACAATAGAGATGATTCTAGCGCTCGGCGGCCGCTGCCGCGGCACGCTTCGCTCGCCTTCGCGCATTAAGGGTCACTGTTCTAACCTAACCTAACCTACTAATTTCTACAATACCTACTTTTTGCAATCATACTATTTTCTGCAATCTCTCTGTTTTACATAAAATTATTGTGAAAACCATGATCATGTGCCTTATGCTTTGATTTGTGGGTAACGGTGGGTACTCGTAAGTATGTGAAGTGTCAATTTGACCACGCAAATTATTTGGGATATAATATTTGGCAAAATAAAACATTTGCTATATAAACATTTGCCAAGTAAAATTTGGCCAAATGTTAATTTGACCAAATGAATTAGTTGCGAAAAGTACAGTTGCTAAAAGTTTATTTGGGAAATGAAACTTTGGCGATAAGTTGTTTGCGAAGTGAAATTTGGCGAAAAGTAATTTGGCCAAACGGAAGGATACCTAACTTACCACAAATAAGGTCCATTTATAGCAAAGTTCTTATGAGTGATCGCAGCAGCCTTAGGCAGGCCTGTTGTACCGCTGGTCGCTATCAACAGTGCTATAGCTTCTTCTGGATCGAAATCATTGAATCTGCCGGGAAAAATATTAAGAAAGTTTAAAAACTTAGTCTACAACGTGTTAATGAAAAAGCGCAAAACCTGAAATTAGTGTGTTCGGAATCGAGAGTAGAATCGATTCCACTAATAAAAAATTAGGGTCAAATTTTAACCAAAAAAAATATTTTAATTACCCCGTTTTTAATCGTTACTTAACTCTATTATAAGAGGTGAATGAACTATCTACGTTAAATACTAACCTACTCATAGGCGTGCATGCCTTGCAATCAGCGTGTGAAAGGTCAATACGTTTCCAATGCGTAAAAAGTGATAACAAGTGCGCGGGGCGAAATCAAAAAGAGTGAATATCTTCGTAAATAATCCGCGAAAATTAATTTTAATAATTTACATAATTCTTTTATAATAAAAATAAGTTGAGGTGTCTGAGGTTTTGCGTTATTGAAAAACAACATGATGATAATAATGATAATAATATCAATCGAGCACCTGCGGCATCTTACGTCAGCTGTACTGGTAATAGTTGCGGTTTTGCAAAAAAAAAAATTCAGACGTATACGAGTACATGTACACCTACGATGTAATTGAAATTCTAATCTCAATAAATACTTGGACTAACTTGAAATCATCCACCGACGTGCCATCATCGAACTCGTCCAAAAACTCTGAGAAGCTGCATAGAAACTCCCCCTTGTCGAAGGTGACTATTCTGGTGTCCAGCTCCAGTTCATTGAGAGCCAGTTGTATATCTGGTGCCTTCTCGCTCTGACAGAAAACGATTTTAGGCCGGTTCACAGCGAAAGTGTCGCGGAGCTCCTCTGAAAGAATTTTTAGGCATAAATTATGTAAATAAATAAATAGGTATTATTGTTTATTTTATCAGACACTCATTTTGGTAGGTACATACATTATAGTATAAAAATAACAATTGTTGCTCCGAGTGTGCGATCTGGAGCCTAAACTAGGGCCACCCTGTATTTCATCCATCACCCATCAGTGCTGCCGTCATCTAGAGCGGACATTATCTTTTTTTTTTTTCAATTTATATCTTTCGTTCGTTCGTTTCAGCCGAAAGACGTCCACTGCTGGACAAAGGCCTCCCCCAAGGATTTCCACAAAGAAAATTTATTTATTACCTACATTTATTTTTATAACTGTTACAGCTTTGATTAGTGCTGTCTTTAATCCTATTGACTATCGATTTTACAAAGTAGTTTCGTAAAATGCGGTAAATGTTTCGGATAAATGAATCCAAAAGAGAGAAGTGCGACTTGTGTGAACGCCTGAGGATATAATATGCCTTTGGTTCTAACCGTGGATTAGTCGTTTAGCTTCTCGTAAGCTGAGATTAGCAATTATACAGTGTGTTTGGGCATGTAGTGATCAAACTTTAAGGATGGACAACTCTATGGACAATTCTATGGGTGAAAATACTTCAAATCTGGGGCTTAAAAATTTTCTCGCAATATTACCTAAGATCTTGAATGTATAATCAATGCCAATAAATTATTCTTGATCTTGAAGGATAGCAACGGATGAGCAAACGCTAAGTTACTTGTATTGTGCTTCATTAATAGAGTTACCTAACAATGAATTTCCTTGACTGAACAATAATGACGCAGTTATCTATTATTCTGTAGGTATGCCTGATACAAAGACAATCATAATAACAAATTGAACATTGATGTAACGATGTCACAGCACGATATTGAATTGTTCATGTTTTATGTCACGTTAATTGGAGTTTGCTTTCTAACTACTTTCAGGAGTCAATAAATTATGCCGTAATATTTAGCTATTACTAACATGAAAATTGTAGTGTTCAGATGTGTGATTTGAACTCTTTTTTTAAGATTTTACCCTGTAGAATCAATTTTTAATACCTAACTACTTCAATTCCTGAAAGTCTAGAAAAGCCTGTCTAGTTTCGGATGGTAGGTAAAGTCACGGTAAAGTTAAAGTTCGTCCCGGTGTAAACATTGAAACTCGCCTTTTGCAAATTTCTGCAATTTTACAAAAACGATATTAGCATAACTCAAAGCAGGATGAGCAGGATGTCAAGCAAGCGAGCCGTGTTCGGTTGGTCTGGACCCGGCTACTTACCAACACCCAAAGTCCTGTCTACGGCCGCAGCAATGACGCCCAAGTAAAAAGCGGCATAAAAAGGAATCGCCAGGTCTATGTGGCTGGGCGCCATGAGGACTATGACGTCACCGCACTCTAAGCCGATATTACGCAGAGCGTTTGCGCATCGCACCGTCCTCTCAAGGGCTGATCCACTAGTCTCCGATTCTCCGGTAGCTCCATCGATCTAAAAGACATTAATTTTTGCAATCAGGCTTTTAAATCTCGTTTTTTGTACTACCGCTACTTCAGGACACCATGTGGGCCAATGCTGAGAAGAAGCAGCGCAAGGAACTCAGTCACTAGCTGTTATAAGAAAGCCTTCTTTTCATTTCAATTTCACTGTCCTCTGCTGGGCTATCTGGAAGACTTCGCTTCTTAGCCATAGGACTAATTACAGTATTTTTTTGATATTCACTCTTACATGATGTTACCACTCACATCAAAATCTAGGTAGGTATCTATAAATTATGGGCATTGATAAAAAATCCACTTAAAACCTGCTATTCACTAGTATTTGAATTGTATTGTCCATTTCTTGGCGCATTAATAGATAGTGTGGCACAAAAAACTAAAAAAACTGCACTCTAGCTCTTAGGTCCATGTCTCTACTTTTACACAACTCCAAATTCACACTCACAAAAACACTCACGATGTATAAGTAAATCGACACCCTCTCAAACCACGATATTATTATACTCTCACTGACACACACGCTGACATTTGGAAGAAAGCATGAAACTCTTGCCTGCATAAGAAAGTCTGGGACGTCCTTGAAGCTCTGAAACAAAATCTTGCCCAGATGAAACCTGTCATCCGGACGACCAGATTCTGCCACGATCCTCGAGGTGATGCCACTCATGTACCAGTGGACTGCATCGTTGGGTCGTTTGGGAAGTTTCATCATGCTACGAACAAATCATATTTTTACTAACGGTCAAGCTAGATCCTGGCTACACAGAAGTTGCAGCGATGGGAACGAGAATTGCGAATAGTCCCGTTTATAGGAATCAATTTTAGAGTTACCTAGTTATTTTATAATCTTTGACTTGATTGACTTTTCTTAACGGACCAGATGACATACAATCGCACTACTTTTAGCCTGCGTGCTGTAATGATAAAACGCAGACCTATTCTATAAAATAGCAATGAACTAGGTATACAATGAACTCTGAAAAAGGTCCTAGCAAAGAATTTTTTCTTACTTATTATTAGCATGCTTTAATAATGCTTGGGGCGCCCTCTGCCCCATCTAGGGGACATATGACCTTAGGTCAAAGTAAGTCATTAGCATGCTCAACCTTTGGGTGACACAATTAATCACCTACCTTCAAAAAATAGGTATCTGCTTGATAATAAAGATTCCAGATGCAAAATGCAAGCGAACTGCGCGGACCACTCTATAACAAATGACACGAGGGCCACTTATATAGAGTGACGGCCGCTGCGTAAGAGGTCTTCTACATGTACCGAGATCCGAGATATTTTTGTTTATCTTGACACAATATTGTCTAGAAAGGGTGTAAAAGTACTACCAGTATTCTGTGCCACTACTTTGTTTTGTTTCTTTCATTGTCTAACTCATTCGTGCGATTAGCGATCTTCTGTCGTATCACTGACTAGCTGCCCCGAGGAAGTTCGTACCTATCTATGTTCCTAAGAAGTAGGTACTAATGTAGGACTAGGATTTTAATGGTGAAAGAATTTTTCATCTGCTATAATCACCTCTGCTCTGGTAGTCGGAGGTTTACAGTCCCTCTGCTGCGAAACATCTTCTACATGAAAAATTATTGATATCCTGATAATATTTAAAAGACCATACATTGAAACATCAGAAGTAAATTAAGAGAACAGCTGGTAAGCACTGAATGAATGAGGTTTTTTGATAAAGTGGTCATCTCTAATCCTTAGAATTCCTGAGACGATGACTGAAAAAAGAAAGCAAAGAAAACATCTTTTCTTTGTTTTTTGTCTCTTTCTTCTTTGTTTTCTTTTCTTTCTATAACTTAATATGCTATATGACAAGTTAACAAGTGTGAAAGATTTGCGTGAACTTTGTTAATAGAGCGACAATGTCAATTGATGCCATTGATGGTGGTACGAGCATAACTGGTTGTCGCAGTCATATGCATTAAAAGGGAAAACGATACCGTGTGATTAAGGTCTGTGCGTAAATTGGACGTAATTACAGTATTGAATGAAATCGTGTACCTATGTTACTACTTTGAGGTAAATGCAGTTATAGAGCAGACAACAATCGGCATGGAAATCATTAGGGGAGGCATATGTTCAGCAGTGAATGTTCTATAGCTGAAATGATGATAATGAACAATCGTCATTATTGACATGTACCTAATCTTTAAGGATTATTTTAAAAGACAAATAAGTAGATGGCTCTCAACGTTTTTCCTTGGGTCTTAAACTATCTCTACCTACCTTAACTTTAGTGATTTAAGCGTGAAAAGGAAAGGAAGATTTCTAAATTGACCTGCATCAAGCGCCTTCTTGCTACCTCTATAAGGTCGTCTGTCTACCTCGTGGATGGACGCTTGCCGGTATGTACTGCACTCCGGAACCTTACTGCTCCATCGGCCGTCAGTTCTGCGTCTGTCGGGTTATGTCTTTAGTTAGTTTTTAGATCTTATAAAGACCAATAAAGATAGTCTAGGCCTAATGTAGTAATAGCCTAGTGTAAACCTCCCCTAAAGCAGCCGGTTACCGTGCCTGATATTTTATTCAGACAATAATGAGAGAGTGCTTGTTCGCCGTGGAATTACTGTTCCGAAGGGCGTGCACAAAGGCCTTAATCATACATTAGGCAGGAGAACTGTGATTGTGACGTAAGATGGACAGCTTGTGTAAGATATTTTCAGTAATATGTTATTTAAATGCCGTTTATTATAGGTATATTTGATTAATCATACAGTAGTAACAGTAGAGATAATTAGGTGTGCAGTGTTTATACAGTACCTAATCTGATGATCTGATTCGATTTTTTGAGATGAAATCGGTTAGATTTGAGTGCACACTCAGATATTGTAATCTGATGGGTTTATTCAAAAGCTATCAGATTAAATTATGTATCTGAGAGTGCGTTATGTAAAATAATACCTAATACCTATTGGTCATTGACGCAACCTCCTATGCAAAGTGTTAGATCTATGAAATATTGCTGTCTAAATAAGAACAGATTACAGACACTTATAATGAGTTAGTGCTAAGACCACCAATTTGTGCAATACCTTTGCAATCTTTTTTAGGCGTGTGAAGTGTGTCTTTAACTTTCCATAAGGTAGACAGTCTACCCAGCCATTTGTATCACTAGCTTGGTCTAGTTTGTCTGAACTATTCCTACATTTAACCCCTGATTGGGTCATTATGCGTGATTTGTGTTTTTAGGCCGGCAGGTTTATGGAGATCGAGGAATTTTAGCCCGTTGAACAGCTGTGCTCCTGCAATCCTTGAGCTATATTGTGGCATTTTTTCTGACTCTACAACCTCTGCACCGTGGGACAGTACACGTGTCACATAGTAAATAGGCGTTTATTTAGGTTATACAGTGTCCGGTTATCGTTCTAGTCATTCCTATGACTAGTATAGGTTGTAGAATTCAAAATAAGAGTGACTTAAGCGTTAAAAGGTAAAAAAATGCCTTAAAAATTAACTCTTGTCTTTTCTGACACTTCTTTCTTACCCTTATCAAATTTGCTTGTTGAACCTTCGAGCTAAGTAGGTACGTCTTAGCTAGGTCGCGTCTTTCCGTTCTATACATGGCCAGAACGCACCTATAGGAAATCTGCTCGTGTATATTTTGTAATGTCTCTTTGCAAATCTGTGACAACAAACTATACACGAATTTTGCGTACTGATCGTGTATAGTTTGTATCGTGGATACTTCCGTCTTCGTTCCAAACTATACTACACCACTTACACTTGACTAGAGTGTGTTCAGTTGATATTGATTTAGTAAAATTCAATAAAATATTTGACATTATTACATAAAATATTATTATTTTACTGAATCTATAATAAATCTAGATTTTTAACGCTATTGTAAGTGGTTTTTGAAATTAAATTGATTAGGTAGATTTCAAATTAAATAACAATTATTAGTGTAATCATAAATTCATTTAAAATGAGAGAAGAAAGTTCAACGTGCATTATTATGCTTACTATGCGAGACTTTAAATGCTAGGTTTGTATTGTGGGCCGTTTGGTGTAGTGGTTCGAAACGGACTACTATTCCGGAGGTAGAGGGTTCGATTCCCGTACAGTACAATCATTTGTGTGCATAAACATATTTGTTTGTATTGGACTGGGTGTTTTCTATGTATAATAAGTATGTATTTACAAAAAAAAGTAGGTATTTAAGTATGTTTATATCCGTTGTCTAGTACCCATAGTACAAGCTTTGCTTAGTCTGGGACTAGAAGCGCAGTGTAAAATGTCCAAAGATATTTATTTTATTCATTAACTTTTATCTCAAGAACAAAATCTTTTGACATATTTCCATACATAATTCTTAATTTGAGTTATTCGAGAATTGATGAAATATCAGCCCCAAAACAAATATCTTTTCTATCGCCCGATTTCCATATTCGATCTTCAATCCAAAGATTTTAGCAATCTTCAAATCTTAATCTAAGAAACCAATCTGTAAATTCCTACCTGCTTTCCAATAATGTATGTATATCAGGAGCCGCAATCGTTTGATCTGATCGTATGGCAGAATAAGAAACACCAAAAAACCCTTTATCAAAACAATGGCACGTGTCGAAAGATGATTCAATGTTTAAAGTAGACACGCAGATATGAATTAATATGTAATAGAAAGAGAGGGCAATAAGTCAAAATGACTAGCATGCAACTACTCGCGTATAAATTGTAATCGCGCACTTATTACAATACATACATTGTCATGATTAGTCCGTATGCGTACTGGCGATGTATATTTTGGAACAAGATAATTGACCTAAGTCACTACAAAGTATACGCGAGCAGTACGCAGCATTATGCGTACTGGTCGTGTATAGTTTGGAAGAGCTTAGTAAAAAAAGTCATTTCCAAACTATACTCGATTAGTTTCACACCCTTGCGTTCTGGCTATGTATAGAATGGAAAGACGCAGCTAGTTCTGTCTGTCGGGTAGCCTCAACATCCCTTCTCACCTTCTAAGTGTAATTCCGAGAAATCCTAAATTAATTAACATAATAAATTATTGTGGGTTGGTTTTAATATAATAATTGCAGATGAATATTTACTGGCATTCGTGGGTGGCAAAAATAATGTTTAATTAGGTACTATCGGGGACTCTTCCGCCTGACCACTTTGTAGAAATTTTAGCGTAAGCGCATCGCTCCGGTCACGTGCTCACCCCGTCTCTAATTGGTTACGCATTTTACTATATTTTTACTACGACCAATAAGAGACAATCAGGGCTTAGGTTGCAATACGAAATACCATTGTGCACTTTATTGTCATACGGTTAAGGTTTAAAGCGAAATGTTTCTTTTTCTTCAATCTTTCTTAGTTTTAGGCTGAGTTGCACCACCTAACTTTGACCGTAACTATAACGGTAATCGGTGCTTTTTGTATGGAGTTTGACAGATTTTTGACGTTTGTTAAAGTTAAAGTAAGATGGTGCAACTCAGCCTTAGAATTTTAATAATAGAATTTGGTTACAAACAAATAGATATGTATTTTTTTTAATATTGTGTTTTTATACGAGGTCTGTCTGCTTTTTGCTTTGGCGATCTGTCGACATATTCTCTCCTTTGTTTTTTTTGTGAAGTTTTGTGATCAATAACCGATTAATTTTTTGTTTTGTGTTGACCCGTGCTAGTAATTGGACTGTTTGATTGCCTTTTTATTGACCTCCGCTCGATTACTGAACCATGCCTCTCAAAATAATTCTTAATTCTTATATTTACTTATAAACTTATCTATACATTGTTAACTGTTTAAGTATTATTTAGTTTGAAGTTTAATTGTTATTGATTTAAGACCTTGTGTAAAGAAGACACTTAATGTGCAATAAAAAGTTGAATTTGAAATAAAAGTAACTTAATATTATAATATTTACGATAACCAATTACCTGGATCATTGCTACCTAGTGCAATATTTGTATTAAATTGTAATAACGTAGATAAGTGTTTCTTTAAAACGGAAAACAAAATATGCATTAAAAATAAATAGAAAACTATTATAGGTTTTTATTTACATTCAAGGATTTAAGAAAGTTATAGCCAGATCTTACAATAATTGTTTTTAAGCCACAAATATTCCTTAATTCTTTACTAATTAATTCAATAACATATTGTTATAAATTATAAGTTCCGAATAAATTAAATACCTATTAAATAAGTAAAATTTGAAAGTAACTGTATGATTTTGTATTTTTCGCCTT